AGACTATGAGGGAATGACCTTCATATAGAATGCAGGTCTTATACTAAGTGTGAATGGATAGCAGATGCTTAGTCTAAGGACTGTGAAAAAGATTTGAAAGACGTCCTGGTGAAGCCCTGCCTCATTTTAAGCTGAGATTCATTCGCCAATGTGTAAAAGATAAACTGAATTTCCCATGGTCAGGAATGGCTAGAGATCAGTGGAAAGTAACCAAGAACCAAGGAAGGATTTGAGGGTACTGACTGTGCCTAACACCTGGGCGGAGAGGATGAAAATGTTTGTGAGAACTGAAAGAAAATAAGAATTGAAGGATGGAGGTTGTTCTGAGGCCGGAGAATGGGTATGATGGGCCTGTCTGTATCTGTAGTGTAAGAGTTGCAAAGATGGCAACGGGATGACAGGACGCTTGTGTTTGCTGGAGTTTAAGAGTCAGAATTAGGACGGTTATGGTAAGAAGAGGGCCAGGAGGTGGAGCAGAAGTGAGTGTAGATCTCTGGAGTTGAGGGTGTAGAGGAACTGTCATTGTTCTGAAGGACTGTCCTTGTTGTGGGCAAAAAAGGCATTCGCTGTGTGGAAAGGAGGACCAAGCAAGATCTTGAAGGAAGGGTTGTCACCTTCTTTTTCTCTCAGTATCTTCATTTGGCAGCAGTCCCAACATCCCCACAATGCTAGCGTGCTGTTGGTGTAGCCCTCCACCTGCTACCATCTATTAAATAGATGGCAATGCTGATTAGATTTATTAAAAATTCTTTTATCACTAAAATGTGGATTTCACAAGGACAGAAATTTGAGTATATTTTCTTGGCCAGATCCAAACGTATTGTCCTGTTCATTATTGTTTGATAAATAAATACTTTGAAGTTTACCTTGAGCTAACTGCTGCTTTGCTCATCTGTTGCTGGTTTCTGGTTACATTCTCCAGAAACATTTTTCCAAGTGTTCTTTGTTTGAGGGGCTTAAGTCCCAGCTTCACCCAAGCTCCTCTTTTTGTTCCTTAGTGCCTCTGTCTTGTTCCTGACTTCATAACGACTTGTGCTTACAAAAGTCTCCACACAGAGAATTCTCCGGGCTTTCGCTCTGTTTTTACTTCAAAGACAAACATTCTTACTTCTCTCTAAGGCTAATATTTTCCCTTTATTGCAACTACTAGGAGTTGCTCACTTTGTCCCATCACTTTTAACTTCTATAACCTTCTAGCCTTTTCCCCCCACAAGTGCAGAGCTCCCCATGCAACAGGAATAAAAGGCTAATTTTGTCTTGGAATTTAAAAGACAATTGGTTATTCTTCCTGGTTTAAAGTCTCAAAGATTCCTTTCTGTATTGTGACTTTTCTTGTTTCGATGCAACTTACTCACTGCCTAATACCTTGAGTTTAGAAATAGATCACAAACTTCTGAGCAATTCCAGCTGACTAATTACATACTGAAAGATTTTCATAGTCTGCTTATCCTCTATATTCCAACAAAAATCCGAGCATCTCTTAGACATATAAATGGAGACTGCATGTTCGTTTCCCGGCTGCCCCGACCCAAATAATCACAGGGAAACTATATTAATTATAATACTGTTTGGCTGATGGCTCAGGCATATTTCTAGCTAGCTCTTACATCTTAACCCATTTCTATTAATCTAAGTATCACCACAAGGCCGTGGCCTACCAGTAAGTTTCCAGCACCTTTCTCCTTCGGCAGCTACATGGCATCTCCCCTGACACCATCTTCTTTTCCCCTGCATTCTGTTTAGTTTTTCTACCTAGCTCTATTCTGCCCTGCCATAGGCCAAAGCAGCTTCTTTATTAACCATAGTAATAAAACACATTCATAGCATGCAGGGGAAAATCTCACATCATAGACATGGTTCAGTGGACCTAGAAATGTTCCCATGAATATTTCATTCATTCATGGGAACATGTAGAGCTTTCTACATGTGTGGGTCTTATTTTCTAAAGGAAGAAACTGTGTGTATATGTGAGCGTGTGTGTGCGCGCGTGCGTGCCACATGTGTGTTTACTAGTAAACGGGGCATAAAGATAGAGAAAAGAATTAGATAGGTTCAGAATAGAGGACTTAGCTCATTATTTTAGATGGTGACAGCAAGACCTATAGAAGAGTTTTGAAGGAGTTGAGGGGGTTGAGTTATACATAGCCTAGGGAAGATGGTCTAGGCAGAAAAAAAAGGAAATCAGAAATTCCCATGAGATCTGCCAGAGGATAGTCATCTTGTTGTAGTCTGGCTGTAGTCTTGGCATTTCCTACTCCTTTCTGCTTTCAGAGTTACTTTGTTCTTTGTCTGAAGGCCAATATCCTGGAGGGAACAACTTAGTCTGGCTTTGGTGTTCTCCACAGACCTCCCTGATTTCTTCTTTTTGTGACTCTCAGTCTTTTATGCCAGCCTCAGTTCTCTGTCATTGGTTCCTTTTTCTTTCTACCCTTCCGTCTTCTACCACATCATATTATAATACACATCATTCATATTTCACATGTCATACCTTGGCTCTGAAAAGCTGGAATGTCACTTTCTTTATATGGTGAGTCTCTACGCCTCCTCAAGTTAGCAAGGTCCTCCATTGTGCCCTCCCTTTGCTAGACCACTCCCCCATGCCCAGTGATCAGCATCTTGCTCAGTTGTCAACTCCCTGAAGACCATAGCTAATCATAACCAGTACAGCTAATGCTTTCTTCTATTTCATTGTACAGCATGCAACAGTGTATGTAGATCCATGAACTTAAACAAAGGACACACAACATCACAACCTACTATGTTAAAAAGAGTAAAAATTCTAAAAACACATGTCTTCCTCATTGCAGTTATATATTAAATGTCAAAAAATTGTATCTTTGTGCATAACTGGAATTAATGTTTGTTATTGTTTGCTTGAATCTGAGTGCTTTTATTCTATTGACTCCTTAGAACAATGGTAAACAGGCCTATTGGCAGAAGGAAGTGGGCCCCACCTAATGAGAGCCTGTGGTTGGCCTAGCTTCATTGTTTTCCAGGCCCATGGCAAAGAACAGCTGCTTTAGATCAGATTTGAAATTTTAACTATAGAAATGCAGATTTTATTGTAGGTGTTTCAGCTAAATGTTCTTGCTTGTTCACATTTGTTTCTAAATTTAGAAACTCCCTTGTTGAGAATCTTCTAATTACTGAGAAAAAAATTCTCAGAAGATTATGAGAGGAAAATTAAGCAACTGAGATATTTAAAGACATTGCTGAAATCCTAGAAGCTGAAAATTGAAAATGAAGAGATGCAAGCATTGATTCTTTTGTGAATCTCAAAAGCACTTTAGTAATACTCAGCGGCCCATAGTTCACGTTCTTCAAGCGGCCATGAGTGAAGGGCAGTCCTTCACGCTAGTTCCAGCAAAGATTACAGGGCTGGTTCGTTTTGACCCAGGAAGAATTAGCCTGCTCAGAAATAGAATGAATTAAATGAAGTAGTCAAAGGATAAAAATGTGTCTTTGATACGTGTGAGTGAACTAGCATGTCTTTTGCTAAATCACGAGGCAGTTGAGGTGAGGGCTCCACTGACCTAACAGCTCAGGCTGTATGGATCCACAGGGTGAGTATGGTGTGTGGGCTCAAATTGCAGAGGAAAGCACTAGAAGATGAGCCTTGTGAAGATTCTGGAAGGCTGGTGTACTCCAGCAGTAGAGGCGTACAAGTTATATCTAGTCCTAACTTGATATAACAGAAAAGTACTCTTACGAAAAAAAATGCAATCTTACTTCTAAGGTGACCATCGACTTAAAATTTACTGACTTGAAATCATTTTGCTCATCATCATGTTTTTAACATTATTTTCAATGCCTCCTAGTATATTTGCTAAGTGAATAGTGAAATTTCCTTTTGAGCTGTTTTTGACCTGGATTAGAACATGGACCGAGGCAAACAGATGACATAAAGCATCACGGTAGCTTTGCTGTCTTGAAGACCAGCTTCTTACAAAACTTTGTTGTGTGAGCCTGCAGTCCCCTAGAGTGGTTTTACCTTGATGCTTGATCTTTTCCTGACTCACCCTTGAGTTTCCTTTTTATGAGGACTCTTGAACACGGTAAGTGACAGATGCTTTTGGGTGTGCATTCCATTTCCAGGTATGTAGCTCTGTGAGCAAGCATGTTTGGCAGACAGGGTGAGTTGGCACATTTGCCTAAAGCCTTTTGGAAGCCTGGAAGACTGTGAGGTGAAATGCCAGCACGGTCTAGGCGTTCCTGCTTTAATCTTAGCTTGAACAGCTCACATGAATGTTTGTTGCTTTACTGACAGTTGAATTTTGAGCAGGTAAAATGCCTCTGAAGATGTTCAGTGTCTTCAAAGAATGCCCAATGCACTCCTTCTTTTGCATGCAATTCCCTATCAGGACTTACTGTTTTACCATGAAGGGTCTCAGTGGGTCTTTTCCATCTAGGGGAACAGTTTTGCATAACACAACAACATCCTGAATTAATATCATGCTGAAATGATACCATCAGGGTGGGTTTGTTTGTCTAATTGCTCAGTGTTTGAAGCAATATCTGCTAGCTCTCTAGTGGTAAAGGGCACATTTAAGCACCTGTAAGCTTTGCCATGATCTGTCCCTTCTCTGCATGCTCGCTCTTCTCAGTGTTGAATCCTGATTAATTTCCAGCTATCGTAAACTCTTTCAAAGCTAAGGCCTCACTAGACACACAGAGAGAGGCAAAGACAGAGACAGACATTATTTAGTCATCTTTTAAGTTCTTTTCCCATGCTCCCTTCCTCCCAGAGGCTTCTGTCACCTCTTCCAAACCAAGACTGGTTACTCCTGTTTGGGTGTTGGAGTGCCATATGTTTCCCTTTGTGCTGTCAATATACAGCTTTGTTTAATCTGCTCTGACTCTGATCTAAGAAGGTTGTAAACAGCAGGATGAAACAAGCCTCGGGTTTGGGTCACATGTGTGTCCCTGGCCTCGGTCACACACTAGCGTCGGTTAGTCTATGCTATTTTGCAAATGATGATGGTAATTTATTTTGTTTTCAGATTCCCCAAGGTGAGGACAGAAGGAACCATGCGGAGCAGCCTGCCAGTCTTCCAATGCTGGACGATCACTCAAAGCCAAATGACCTTTCTAATTCCATGTCAGAGGTCAAAACGGGAGAAAGTGAGCGACAGCCGAAAGAAAGCTTTTTTCAGTTTCTTGGGAACTTATTCAGTATCTCAGGAAAGTCATCTCTTGGGGAAGTTAAACAGTCTTCTTTCAAAGATGACCTGGATAAATCTGAGAAAGGCCCACAGATTCCCAGCGGCCCTCCTGATGAGGGGATCCAGGGGGAGAAGGAAATTGCCAGCAGTCCTGTGAGGATTCAGGTACTTCCTGTGGATGAACAAGAGTCTAACTCCTCAGAACTGTCTGATGCCTTTTCTTTGGATACAACACAGGACAGCGAACAGGAAACCACTGATATGCTGAAGTAAGTTTTTGGAGCTAACTTTATGAGCCTGGGTGGTAGTTCTCATTAACTGGAGGACTTGGAAAAGGTGTTCTCTGTTTTTCTGACAGATCCCAGATGACATCGTTGTGTATATTCTCTAAATGTCCCTGGGCTTTTGTACCCCTTTAGTGGGCTGCTAACACCTTATTGGCGCTAAATTTATATTAGTAGAAGAATTGTCTTAAATTCAAGATTTTCTTGCCATGAGTGTTTCCAACTGGGAAGTGCTACTGTGTCAGGACAGACAGTGTGCTCTGCACAAGTCTCTGAGGAGCTTGGGTTGAGATTTGTATTCCTATTACTTCAATGACATTTCCCCTCCCTCCGTCCCTCCGTCCCTCCTTTCCTGACCTTTCTTCCTCCCTCCCTGTCTTCCTTCTTCCTTCCTTTCTATTTCTTTCTTTTGTTCCTCCTCCTCTTTCTTTTTGGTGGAATCCAATTAAAGGGGTTAAAAATAAATCAAGAAAGTAGCTCTCTTTGTGAAACTGGGTTTATGAAATTCTTCCACAGCTCTAACAAAGTAGAGGTTTTTTTTAATTCAAGGAGCATTTCAACACCCTTGTTCTTTTGATTAAAGAACAGGTATAAACTTGCTTTTTATATTCAAATATACTAGACAGAGAACTTTCCATCTCCCAAATTGTCGTGACTGTGTCTAATACATTAGACCTTTTCTTTCCTCCTTGATAAAGAATCTCTTCTGTTGGCTAGAGAAATGCTTTGAGCAGCTATTCTGTTAAATGAAAGGACATACTGAGGAGTAGAGGCAGTTCCTATGCCTTCACATCGGTTAATTTCTGTTACTTTTTTTTTTTTTTTTGGTTTTACGAGACAGGGTTTCTCTTGTTGCTTGGAGCCTGTCTTTGAACTAGCTCTTATAGACCAGGCTGGACTCGAACTCAGAGATCGACCTGCCTCTGCCTCCCGAGTGCTGGGATTAAAGGCATGCGCCACCACCACCTAGCTCTGTTTTCATTTGATCGTTATCATTTTGATGTTATATTTTCACAGGTTCACAGTCATCATGAAAAGCTATTTTGTCAAGTAGCTCTTTTCAAAAACCCAACTTTGTTAGTTGTATTGCTTTCCTTTACACAGAACAGTTAAAAGCCTTCCCTAGCATGGGAGAGAATATGCTTAACTATGTGCTTTAAAAGAAAGTAGATGTTTAAAGAGTATCTTAGTCGTGTTTTCCCGAAGTGAGTTATTAAACACGTTTTCTAAAAGCCTGATTGTTATTTGCAGACTGCTAGACTTTTTTTTTTTTGTGATAGACGATACCTCTGTGGCTGAAATAGCAGGTGTATCAAGTTTATCCGTACTGTAGCAGAGCACCGTCCCAGCCTTTAGAGGCTGAGTAAACATTCCCATGACGTGCTAGTGTCTTGGGCATCTCTGCCAGTTTTTGTAAATGCGTGTAATCTCTTAATACTTTACTTTATTCCTATAATTTGGGAGATTATGTATCTTTTTGGATTAAAAAAATCAGATGCATAATTACACATATGAAATTCTCTTTTCTCTGTTCAGCTTGTGAAAGACAGACCCTTTAACTTTTGTTTGTTTGTATTTGTTCTTCTGAGACAGAGTCGATTTATTATTTATCCCTGGCTCTGTAGACCCAGGCTGGCTTCAGACTCAGAGTTAGGCCTGTCTCCGACTCCCAAATGCTAGGAGTGTGTGCCACCATGCCTAGATAAAGTCACATTTTTTAGCAGCTCTATTTTATATAAAAAATGAAAAAATAGGACGTTTTTATGTTTTTGTCAATATTCAGTTATAGTGATTCTGCTGTGACCTATGAAAGAACAGCGTAGAAACTAGACAGTGTTGCTGGCTGGTCCTTTAAATCATGGCAGCATAGCTGCTCAGAACTGAAGCAGTTAATTATACTGCATCAAGCCAGGCTTGCGACTTTGATGTTCAATGCTTTAAATATGGCAGTTGCTTTATATAATGAGTGCACACTTGGGTTACAAATATGTAGTATTTCCATCCAGGGTGCTGCAGAAGATTATTTGGTTAGAACTTTAAGCCAAAGCATTAAATTCATCATAGTTGAAATTATGCAGAAAGTCCTAAAAATATAAAAGTATGACACCGAGTCCTCTCTCAATACTCCAGAACTATACAAGGCATTGCTATAGTAAGATTATAAGTACGGCACAGGACAAGCTGCTTTGAGATGTAGTTCAGCCAAAGCTGGTTACAAGTTATCTATATTTATTATGCATGCCAAATAATGCTCTGGTTCCTATTTTCTGTTTATTCCTTTATCCATTTCTGGATCTGGGTCATATTTTGGAAGAAAAGTTGTCATCTACAGAGCATAGGTTTTAAGAATATATAGTTTTATAATTATATAAGTATAATATAGTTTTAAGGAACATGACTTTGAAAGAAAAAGCATCACAGGAACTGTTACTTTTTCCAACATCTGGATTTCAGCATGTTTTTCTGAAAGGTTCTTGTATTTTTTGAATTTATACATGCTGATATGGGATTTGCCAGTAACACTTCTTTTGTCTGTTTTTACTTTATGAATATTTTGAATAATCTGTATGAATATTCAAGTGTGAAATTTTGAGTTTGTATGTCTATTTTGCCTGCATGTATGTCTGTGCACTGTGTGCCTGCCTGGGCCTGCAGAGTTCAAAGAGGGTGTTGGATATTTTGGAGCTGGAGTAAGGGTGGTTGTGAGCTACCACATATGTGCAGCGAGTAGAACCAGGGTCCCCTGCAAGAGCAACAAGGGCTCTTGATCACTATGCCACACCTACAGCTCCTGTTTGTGTCTTCTTAAATTGTCTTAGAAAGCCTGCCTTATCCAAAGTGAGGCTTTGTTTTCCAATTCTGTGATCTAGTCTGAAACTCATACTGTAGTTAAAAGCCACTATGCACGGACCTAGTTTGGTTAATTGATAATGAACAGTAAAATAAATGAATGGAACAGACTCTTTTTCTTGTCTATACTTACAGCATGGTAAGAGTTTTAGGAGCCAGCATTTATATGAGGTGAAATAAACGAGTTCAGCTAAAATTTAAGATATATGTAAGAGATATAAAATTTAAGATGTATGCTGAAGTTTTTATATGCTGAAGGAGAGGTACTTGGCTTTATTATTGCAATAAATCTCGCTTTCTTAACATTGCTTTAAAAGTCAAGATGAACTGTGTTTTTAAAGGTATTGGAAAACTAACTCGATTTTCCACGTTTTGTATGGGTTCTATACTAATGTTTTAGATCATGCTAGGCATTACCTGGAAAAGTCACAAAGCAAATATTTCCACCATTGATCCTTATATTCAGGACCCTACATTATAACATGAGTTCAGAACTTAAAAACTTTAATATCACTCTTAAGAATCAAGACATGGAGGCTGGAGAAATGGCTCAGTAGTTGAGAGCATTTGCCGCTCTTGAAGAGGACCCAGGTTCAGTTCCTAGTACCCAGGTCAGGTGGTTCACAAACACCTGTACCTCTAGTTCTGGAGGATTTGATGCCATTGTTCACAGACACCTGCATTCAAATGGCATACATGTGTACGTTCAGAAGCACATACATACATACATACACACGTGCGCACACACACACACACACACATATATACATACACATAAAATAAAAGGTAAATCATAAAGAAGACCGCCTGAAGTAGATTGCTTAATGTTTAGAATAACTATCAACCATATATTAATTCACAGAAGGCATTGCATAGATGCTATTTTCTAGATCTTTTGTAAAGTATTTAACTCTGCCGAGCTGATAACGGCAAATATATGTTCCCTCAGGTCGTTAATAGAATAGTTGGGAAAAACTCCTTAGCTCTCTGTAACTTAATGTGGTTTATGTTGTGATCTGTGAATTGGGAGAAAATTGAGAGGTCAGAGACTAAATATTTGTCCTTCTTATAGGGTTCAGATTGGGTGGAGGTAATTTTTGAGCTCCATTCTTAAAGCTTAGGATTGAGGTCACTTTCCCTTTCATGACAAAATTAAGGGAGTAGGAATGGTGTTTATACAGGGCTACAAAGCCACCTGGCCTGTCTGGGAGCTTCAGAGGTAGGTTCTTCACAGCAAGCTTCATGGTGAAAGCATCAGGAACTTCCTGCTGCAGCCGGTTCTCCAGTCCTTCTAGAACTCCATGTCTGCATTCACCCAGGCAGTTTAGCAGTTGCCACAAGTGGGATGTTTGAAAAACTCAATATGAGAGGAAATCATTGGGAATTGTATTATTGATTGAATTAATGCCTATTCCATGTTAACTATGAGTGACGCCTCTTGTTCCTAGCTAACACTTCTCCAGCTTGCGCACTAAAACGTTGCCATTCAAATTCACATGGAAAATTAAAGGCATAGACACTTGCCCTAATATTCTGATTTGCTAGAGAAATCAGTAATATGTAAGTTTAATGGTACCAACGCAAAGCACAGTCAGTGTTCTGCCTTAGAGTAGGGTGTTTGGGGATCAGAAGAAGAACCCAAGCCTTGGTTTGTCATTCTGTGTTCTTTCTGTTGCCCACAATTAGAAGTATATATGCAGTGAGATAAGAAGGAACAATTCTGAGGAGTTCGTATGGTATGATAATTACATGCTGTTTGTCAGATTTTTACTATTTTTAATAAAACAGGTAAACTTACTAACTAAAATTCCTAGAATATTCTCTAAAACTCGTTACAGGAGACATAGTATTAGAAGGATATACTTCACAATGGTATACTGTTATTAATTATATCGCTTGATTCCCATGCTGTTTCTTTTCACAGAAGAGACACTGTTGGTAAACCCGAGAGGCCTTCGGTAACATATGCGACATATCGAGGCCCCACCCAAATCAGGAAGTACTTGAAGCAGCAGACTGTGTTGGAAACTGTGCATCACTTAGACAGGGAAGATGAAAGCTCTGACTATAGTACACACGCACATACTGGCTCTAGAAATATAGTGGACCCTGTGACGGCCCCATTGTCATCAGCCAGCAAAAAGGGAGCCACAAAAGACTGTTTGCTTGGCGGTCCGTTAGAAGTCTCTGGCTACAGCCAAATAAATCTCAACATAGAAAGTTGTCTGGAAAATAACCCAGTCTTGCAGAATAGTGCTTCATCTGAGACTATTTTAGATAAAAATAGCCATGGAGGCTCTGGGAGAAGTTGGGCCTCCCCTTCTTCAGTGTCTAACCCCAGCTATGTTGTTGGGGAATCTGACTCACAGCCTGAGAGGAGTTTGGTATGTTCGCCATTGTTTATAGGAAGTAGAAGCAGCCAACTCCCTTGTCCAGAATTTCAGAGAAAAACTGCAACAGAAAATACGTGGAGAGAAAACAGCTCTGTGATGAGCGATGGGGTGTCAGTGCCAAGAGAGGAACATGTTGAGCCTCAGAGACCTGCTGTTTCTGATTTCTCTTGTAGTAAATCTGATGGGAGTGTCACTACCAAAGTGGAAAGTACAAATTTGTCAAGTCCAAATAAATCAATTAGGCATGAAGATGTACGGTTGCCAGGGAGTAAGTGTTGTGACAAGCCAGCCGCAGATAACCCATCAGGAAAGAATGTCAATCACACCAGCATTGCTGCTCTCCAGGGACATGCTGTGACAGACTCGGAGCTTGTTAATGAAGGAAAGAGGTTACCTGCACAAGAATCACAGAAAAATGTGGTTTCAGAAATCATGCAAGAAACAGAAGCTGCCTCTGGGGGTGAGCCCACAACTTTAAGTCATCAAAGAGCTTCAGAAGATGGAATTGAGTCCTTACCCAAAGATACTGAGCCACTGTGTAAAACAGAAACCAAAAGGCTTGGTTTGGAAGTACATGGCAAAACTCACAATATGGCAGAACATCAAGAGGATCTTGGTTCTGTAAAATACATCAATGACTCAGCAGATGTAGCAAGCGTAGAAAGTGAGACAGCACCTCAAGTGAATTTTGAACTAAATAGAAATCCTGTTTCAGAATCTCCTTTTCATGCAGAGAATCCACAAAATCCTCAAGTTTTTCCCGGTGCTGAGGCACTTCTTAACCCTGACTGTAAAACATCTGATTGCAGTGCCTCACCGTCCACCTTTGCTTCTGGACTCAACATGCTCTGCAAGTTGGATTCCCCTGGCTTAAAGAGAGAGCGATCTCTGTCCAATGAAGCTGGACAGGAACACATTTTCTCTCATCCTAGTGAGTGTCAAGATGTAGGAAATCATTCTGAGGCTGCAGACAGGGAGACTCGTTCCCTTCACCTTGGACATGCGTCTATCATCCTTGAGTCCAAGGAAACTCTTCCTGATAGTGAAAAATGCCAGTTTCCTCTAGGTCCTGAAACCGTTGGCACTCATTTAGCTGGGGTAGATCTGTTTGACTCAGAGCATGGAGGTGTCTCTGAGGATTACAATTCTGTTTCGTCTCATGGTAAGAAAGCAGGGTTAATGTCCTCAAACACTAAAGCAGGTAGCCCCACAGAGAAGTCTGATTCTCTTTCCTTGAAAACCCAAGCTGCTAAAAGGTTGCTCCAAGGAGAGGTTGCTGCTCAGAGCAGCTTCCCTGTTGCCTCACATTCTGAAAAAGGGAAAGCCTCGTCCAAGCTGTCTTTCTCTCAAGCAGAACCCAGAGACATTTGTCAGGATGAACTTTCTTTTCCTCAGTTAACAGTTGCAGATGAGCTCGCTGAGACTGTCTTATCAGAATTAAATTCTCTGGTGATTAAAAAGGGCAAAAATGGTCAATCAGTGGATCACAAGGAGATGACAGAAATGTGTTTAAGTGGTGGCTTTAAAGAGCATCATCAGGCTGGGATTTCTCCTGCTTCTCAACATCACAGTGCACAAGAAACAGAGCTAGATACCCTAGATAATCCTGCTCCTCGTCTCAAAAGCAATCAGTTTGGGATTGTACCTCTTGGACCAGAGGAGGAATCCACGGGGCACATGGCACAGAACTGTAAAGCTAGCATGTGCATAACCAGCCCATCTTTGGCCTCTCGTACCACTAAAAAGAGTTCTAGTGTCACTGAAATGGAAGAACTGAGTTCAGATAATATTTCTCCAAAGTTCCAAGAAACTGACAACACACAAGTATATTCATCTTTTCTGGGTTCTGACGCCTGTTTGGAGAAAAACGGGTTTACATCCGAGGATCCTAGCTCAGTCAGTGTACCTTCTCTGTTGGGGTCAGAAGGGGAAGCCTCCTCTCCCAGAGAAAACTCTTACGTCCAGACTGCTGGTGCTCGTATTCCAGCTTCCTCTTGTCACTCTAAAGGAGATAGCGCAGCCATAGCTTCGCATAATCTCCCAAGTCATTTTGATGCTTTAAAAGTTACTGTAAATCTCACATATGAAGGTGCTTCTGTTACTGACCCTCTGGGCCCTAATAGTGCTGATTTGGAATTAGAGACGTCTAGCCCCAAAGGGGCAAAAGTGACACCATGTCAGGGCTATTTGGGGACTCAGACTAGGAAGGTTTCTCTTGGTTTCCCAGCCACTGACTGCTTTGACAATCCCATGAAGACAGAGACGGGAACAGTTGCTGGGGCGCCAGTGTCAGTTAACAGCTCATGCCAGCAGTGTTCTGAAGCATCTGCTGACCAGACAGAAGCAAGGAGAGGAGCACATGGTCAACTTTTACTCAAAAGTGGTTTACTCTCCAAAGCTGATACATTGGTTGAGGAGATTTTGAGTTCTGTTAGGGAAGAACTAAAATCCAAATACACGGTTGGTACCTGCCAGGAGCATCCAGCCAAAGATGATAGAATGAACCCAGGTACTGTGAAAGAAGATATCCCATCAGAAGTGGCGTTAACGGGCATCCAACTGAAAGAGTGTTTGGAAGAGAGACGTGTGGAAAATATGTCAGAGGTCAAAGAAGAAGAGGAGGACAGTGTTTCACCTGCAGTTGGTGAGACAAGTCTTCTTTTTGATTTTGATAGAGTGAATATCTCTTGTTTGTTAGAAGAACAGACCAGGGAATTAGTCGATGAGGTTATTTATGCAGTCCAAGAAAATCTGACTGATGCTTTCAGTGATACTGAAAATATCCGGGCGTCTGAACCTCAGGCTAACACTTCAAAGATTCTGAACAGTGGTGGCGTTAAACCACCTGGTGTCATTAGGGACTTCTTGGTGTCAGAACAGGCAGTAAATCAAAGCATGTGTGAAATTAGTGAAAATAAACTATTAGGTAAATTCTCTTCCATAAGTAACTTAGTAAGTGGCACTGAGTCAATTAAAGGAAGAGAGATTGTTCCCTGTCAGCAGCAGTCCCCAGGTCTTGGGAGTGGAGCTGAACAGTCTGATCATATACATTTGCAGAAATCAGAGACTGTTTTACAAGCTGAAGGCATGTCCCATCCAAGGTTAGATGATGAAGTGAAGCCACATTTGTTTGTCAGTGAGGACCATAAAAAGGCAGCAGAAACAGAGTGTGTGGATAATCACAAAATGGCAACAGACGATACTAGAACTCTTGTATTAAATTCCAACTTGCCTCCATTTGCAAATGATGATCTCCACATGCCTGGCACCTCCAAAAACAGTTTGTCTGACAGCCTTGTATGCATATCTGAAAAAAGTTTGCCAGGACATACCAAAAGCACACCCCTTGCAATGTCAGATATGGGGAAAGCACACAAAAAGGATAATGAAGTAAATGTAGGGAAAATCACGCTTATACCTTCCATGTTAGAGATAGGAAAGCCAAGTAAAAGGGATGCTGAATTGAATATTATGAAACACGGAGCAGCCCCTCTTATGTCACAGAAGGAAAAAGCATGTAAAAAGGATGCTGAATTGAACATTACAAAAGCTGAGTCAGAAGTTGACATTCTTACAAGGGGAGGCATATACCAAATGGATGCTCAGGTACATGTTGAAAAACCTGAGGAACCACCTGCCACTTTGGGAATGGAAAAAGCTTATAAGATGGATAGCGAAGGGGACATTGGCAAACCTGAGGTGGCGCCTGCTATGTCAGAAATGAAAAATGCCCATCAAAAAGATGCTGAGGGAGATATTGTAAAGACTGAGATAACACCTGTTTCAATTGGGATGGAAAATATTTGCCAAAAGCATGCTGAAGGGGATGTTGGAAAGGCAGGGGTCGCATCTGTTCTGTCAGAGGTGGAAAATACCTACCAAAAAGATGATGAGGGGATTGCTTCCAAAGCTGAAGGGACGGATTCCTTAGCAATGGAAAACGCTTACCAAAAGGATGACGAAAGCGGTGTTGCAAAGACTGATGTGATAGCTGTTGAATTGGAAATGGAACATAGTGACCCAAAGGGCTCTGAAGGAGATCCTGACAACACTGAAGGGATGTCTGTTAGGTTCACAGCGGGAAACGCTTATCAAAAAGACACTGACGGGGTTAGTGGAAAGATAGAGCGACCTGTGTCAGAAATGAAAAGTACTTACCAAGAGGATGCTGAAGATGTCTGTAGAAATGCTGTAATGGTCCCATTTGTGTCAGACGTGAAAGAAACATGCCACGAGACAGTACATTCTTCCTTGGCTATTTTGGAGAAAAGAGTCCAAAGAGACACGGAACAGTCAAATGGAACAACTGAGTCTGTGCCTTCTAAGATAGAAATGGAAATAACAGCCCCGAAAGATTCTAGTGGCAGCATCGAGAACCCTGAAGTGTTGCCTACAGAGGTAGCCATCGAGAAAACCAATGGAACACCACCAGAAGTGACCATTACACAAGTGGAGGTCATGCGTTCTGTTGCTGAGAGTGAAAAAGGTCCTCAAGAGTACGTGGAGAAGAGTGTTGAAGAAAGAGAAGAGTGGTCTGGTGACGTAAAGGAGGGATTGATCCCGCACGATGACAGTCTGGCTTTGCATTTCCGAGGCTATGAGTCACCGACATTAAGTAAGGATTATGAGGGCTACCCTGCCTTAGCAATGCCAGATTTTCGAGAGGAAGACACGGTAGTAAGGTTCAACAAAATAAAGTCTGTTACTTCAGTATATGACAAGAGGAGAGATCTGGATTATAGCGATGAAAAGGAAGAGTCGCATTTAGCCTTTATTCCTCAGGATGAACAAGAGAATTCCTCCTTCACTATCTTGTACGAGGAGCCTCTTCAGGAGGAGGACAAATATGCTCCCACTGAATTAAGAGGGACACAGTCTGTCTTATTTCCCGACACTTCCTCCAACAGCATGCCTGGCCTCGCGTGTGAAAGGTCTGAGAGCAGAACTGACCTGGTCCATCACTTGGAAAAAGAAGGTAAACTGGGTGAGGCATTTGATGGAGACAATTCAGAAATGTTCCTATCAGTGGAAGCCAAAAGGTACAAAATTTATCCCCTAGCTTTGAGTCCCATTTATGAGGATGACAGCTCACAGGAGGACGTCCTGTCCAGCGAGGTCTCGCCTGGTCACCATGGCTCCACAAAATCAAGGGACAGCGCCAACCAGCCGTCATCTGTCCTGTCCCTCCTCCAGTCGGTGTCGGAGCGCTTACAGAGAAATTTCGATGGAGACGACAGGCAGGTGGCTGAGGATGAGGAGGAGGAAGCAGCAGCAGCTTCCGGGAAGGGTTGGCGAGCTGAAAGGAGGGAGCGTGTCACCTTCGACTTGGCAGATCCCTCCATCACCTTTTACCCTGACGACGACCAGGAAAGCCCTGGACTCTCCAGGCCCTACGTGGAGGCCAGTGAACCGACCACTTCCAACCTGCAGCTTGGCCTGTGGCCAGAAAAGGCATCCCTTCTGCAGAAATCAGATTTGACTTCCAAGCTGCACTCTTCCCTGAAGAGTGCCTATCATCAGTATCTGCAGACTTCCAGGACGCATTCCTCAGACGCAGGAACCAGATTTGGTGGTGTCTCTCAGGAGCCAGTGTCCAAGTACTTCCGCGTCCAAGACCACTCAGGCAGATTGAGTCCGTACATAGAGGTAAGTTCCTGCGATCTTTAACTAGTGAAGCAGAAGTCTTGGTTGTGAGACTGTCTGAAGGTTTATAAAGAAAACCCGTGTGTTGGGAGGAGCACAATAGCGGAGGCCTGGATATTTGGGAGGCTAAGACAACAGAATTGCAAGTTCTAGGCTAACCTGGCATCTTAGTGTCAAAAGAAAAGAAAGAAAAAGAGCTGTATGTATATAGCTCAAGAGTGGTCGCCTGGCACGCAGGGACAGGGTTCACTTTACACACACACACACAACAGTACTTTGAGAAGGAAATTTTGTTGTTTTAGAACTTGAGGAATATTCTTTGAAGCATGTCATAGCGTACCTTTCAGTTATCTGTTAACACCAGGAAACCAAAATTGCTTAGAATGTAAAGGCCCTATTAGAGAAACCAGTGATTTCAGTCTTTGGCTAATATTTCAATGTAAATGAAGTGATAATTTATTGAATCTTTCAAGTTACTGTATATTGCTACTTCCCATTTAACTTACTTATGTCAGGAAAATCTCTGTTCAGTAACGTTTTTACTGCTTTGCCTTGCCATGTCCTTCACCCACAGCGGGGTGCCGAGCATCATGATAAAAAACAAAAAGCCACATTATAGTTGAGAAATACTTTCAACTTCAGTTAACACTTTTCCTTGGCTTAGAAACACCCATATGTTTAACATGGAATATTATTTGAGCGTGGAGCTTCCTTTGTTGGCATTGCTAATATCATGGAACTTTCTAGAAAATCCTCAAGGCCTCTATCTTGACCCTTGAACCGACTTAGTAACTTACTAATTAATAATTAGTATTAGTATTAATAGTTGAATACTGAGCAGTTACCCTAAAAACCAACATGATTTAAAAATAAACGACGGTATTAGATGAAATTTTGTTTTTTCTGGTGTCTACTGCTTACCAAATACATTAGACCCTCTTCACAAATACAAAATCTGGTTTCTGCGTTTTCTACTTTGTCTCCCTACTTCTGACTGTTCTCCAAGCTTCCACACCAAGGAACAATCAAGGTGGCTCTCATCTGGGAATATTTCTCACTGTTACGTACTCCAGTTTTTCACTGTTTAAAATCCTGTTCTTTTAAGAGAGCCTCGCCAGCCCGCAGCCTCCCTCCCTCCCCTCCCTGCTGCTGCCATGACCATGTTTTCAGTTGTTCTTGGGGTGTGATCATCTATTAGTTCCTTCCGAGCTGTGCATTTCTTGAAAGCAGGGACATTATGATACTTTCTTCTATATTTACAGTTTGTTTTCCTAGACTATAGAAGCATGTATACATGGCATGGTTATCTAGTCAGTGCGTGACAAATTGGGCTTATGACTGTGGAGAATGGACTCTGTGTGTAGACATATATATTTTTTCCCTGCTATATCTTAGTTGTTCCACTTTTACTATTTCAGAATGTTGACACACAAACTCTGAGGTGTAACCCAAGGCCTGGAAAGGTAAGCATATTGTTCTCTTGTGGGCTGATATAAACGCTGAAACTCTGGTTGCTTTCAGGCTTGTGTGGAATTGAAGGCAAATACTTTTGACTGACTTAGTGGGAGTTTTTAATCTTTTTTTAAACTTAAGAATTTAACATCTGCAATAATTACTGAAAACATTAGCTTTACTCATGCAGGGGAGTTTATTGTTTATGTTCTATGACATTCTTAACTTCTTTATGCATTCTTAAAATTAGTCATTATGCCCACCTATTTACTTTATGTTACAGATGATTATCTATGATCTCCATGGAAGTAAATATAAACAAGAAGTCTACTGTAATGTTCCTGATGCTACAACATGGTCTTTCCCGAATGGGGCACTGATAAAAGTTGTAAGGGGCTGGTAAGAACCTTTTTTGAAATGTTACAGCCTATTATTTAGAACTAACCATGGCTTCTTATAGTTATCCTTTGTAGCATTTATTAAAGTCATAAACCTTTCCCTCAATTTACTAGAATATTTGAAGGATTAATAGTGTTTTATAGTTTAGTCCTTTTATTTACTATGGTATGCTATATAGGTTATTTTTAGTATTTAATGCCTGCATTGGATTGCAAGATCCAATGTATACCATCAGTGCTATTTTACAATTGAAGTATTATCTAAATAGAGTTGCAAGACAAGTTGAATGAAACATGACTTTGAAAAAAATGAGTTCAGAGTTGTGGGAAGCTATGGAATGTGAAGGCTACATGGAGCCATTTGTGTAGTTGAATTCCTAGTGTGGTAGGAAAATGATGGAAAACCTCCTTTGTTATTATGGACACTGCCCCGTGGATAAACTGGAGCCAGAGTTCTCGTGTCCAGTGTTTAGGTTAGCCCGGGCCAGTATGTGGGCTGTAAACAATGTGGTGTAGTCTTGTCTTCATGAAAGAAAATGGATTCATGTCTGTAGTACCCAGTGATAGAACAATTAAGACAGAAACATAACTTGGCATCCTTAAATTATTTTTATATAAATGTAAGGTTTTATGTATATGACATATTAAAGTATATTTGTATAAATACATATTCAGATCTCTGTTGTAATACAGTGTTTAATGTTTTAAATTTTATTTAAAATTTTTCATCTCATATGTCAGAGTGCTTTGGCTACATGTATGTAGGTGCACCACATGCATGCGTGGTGCCTGTGGCGGTCAGATGAGGGTGTTACTGGAATTATGTATGATCGTGACCCATCATGTGGGTTCTGGAAACTGAGGTCAGGTCCTCTGCAAGAGCAACAAATGCTTTTGACTGCTGGGATATGTCTTGAGTCCCCTCCAATTTTCAGTATTTTCATTTCTAATTTGTAGAGATATTTTTAAACATAAGTTACTCTGTATTGCTATTTCTAAAGTACCATTATATGCTAATAGCAGGAGCTAACCTAGCTTTAAAAAATACATACAGTGATCTGTGACCTACTCAGTACTTTTTCTTAGAGATGTCGACTCACTAACCCCTTGTGCTTCTGTTTATTCAGCTGGATTTTATATGAGAAGCCCCATTTCCAAGGTCAGAAATGTGTTTTGGAAGAAGGGGAAAAGGTCTTAAATCGGGATTGGCTTCTTCAGAACAAGAAGCACCCAGAAAGAAACTTTGTCCTGGGCTCTATCAAGCGTGTCTTAAAGGTAATATAGCCATTCATTTGCCACTGTATTTTGGTTTTAATCAAGTAGTAAAGTTGTCCTGTGGCCTAACACTGCTAAGAAATAGTTTGTCTAATGTATTAATCTTCATATTTAAATTTATACATATCAGATATTTAAACAAATGATAACTTAAAATTTAAAAAGCAGATTTATAAAATTTAATAATTTTGAATGATAACTTTATATATATGTATTTGACATGGATGTAATGCTAGGTATAATCACTGTAGGAATATTTAAGAAAAAGGTAGTAGTTCCAAATCTATCTTGTTCTAACTTACGTACTGCTACTTAGTACTGTGTTTGCTTGCGTGTTTGCCTGTATGTGGGTGGGTATGTATATATGTAAATGTGCTGGGACATGTTAGAGAAGGAAAAATTGGGAGAGGAAAGTGTTGCTGTTCAATTTTCTGTTAGAGACTTATTGAAGATGAGTGAGGTCTTCCAACACAGAGTCTCTGCAGCAGGCTTTCTTTTGGGCTGCTTGCTACCAGCTCCCATATAAAGACACGAGGACTTACTAGTTGTGAATATTCAACCTTATCTTATGCTTGTCCCAGTAGCTCTTATAACTTAATTTAACCTGTTTCTCTTCATCTACATTTTGCCTTGGGACTTTTTACCTTTCTTTCATTCTGTATATCTTTCATGGCAACTCTTTCTTTTTTCTTCATTCTCTCTCCTCTCAAGCCTAGATTCTTCCTCCTACTTATTCTGTCTGCCCACCAGCCCTGCCTTTCCCTCCTCTGCCTAGCTATTGGCCATTCGGTTTTTTACTAGACCAGTCAGGTGCCTTGGACAGGCAAGGCAACATCTCTTTACACCGTTAAACACGTCCAGCATAAACAAATGTAACACACCTTTACATAGTTAAAGTGATATTTCACAACATAAAAATAACACACCTTTACACAGTTAAATAATATTATTCCACGACAAGGCTCTGTGTTGACTAGAGTAGGAGTGATTACTGATCAGGGCAGACCTCAGATAAGAACAGGATCCCGTCTCCATTTCATCAAAACATAAGACAGGATACGGTGTACTTACTAATGTGGTGACCATAGATATGGAGGATGTGTGTGTGTGTGTGTGTGTATGTGTGTGTGTGTGTGTGTTCGCGTGCGCGTGCATGTGCATATAACAATAGTACTTAAGAGAATGAGATAATGAATCTGGGAGGTTGAGGAGCACAGGAGGAGTTGGAGTGGGAGAAGGGATCTATATTCAGTGCTCAAGTATGAAGTTCTGAAGAAAATTTTAAAAGCTACCAGTTGTGTAGAAATATTTCATGGTTTGCTCCATGTATGAAACTTTTGATAGTTGTAGAGAAAAATTAAAGGTAGTATATAGAAATACCCAAGTTATCATTATGTGTCTGTATGTATTACATATGAATCAGAACTACAAACAAATTTATATCTAACAAGTATTTGTGACTGCTTATAGATCTGATGACTGTAGGAAGCAGTGGAATAGATATATTGCAGTCTTTGAGTCTTATTTCTAGTTGCTGGAAGTCTGGAGAAGTATTTGACTTGGGAAGTACGCTCAGGGGACCCCAGGGGCATGCAGGGAAAAGGCACCACCAAAATAAGGTGTATCTGAGTTAGAATCTTGAACAGATGAACAAGAATTAGCGTGGTGGATGAGTGAGGCTTGGCAGAGCCTCTTTGTTCAAACAAGTGGGAGAGCATTAATGGGTCCATGGCAGAGAAGACAGTGTCTTCTTTCATGTTTGGAACTACCTGTGACAGTGTCTGCAAAGCCAATTTAAGTGGTCATTTAATCATCAAACCTAGGAAAAGTTTCCTCAGATGAATCATTAACGTGTAGGTGGAATCTTTGGGATTTGCATAGCTTGTGGTTTTGTGCCTTCCTGCCAAACCTAGTGCGGGAAAAGTGGAGAAGGTTTGGCAGCCAGCCAGTCTTACAACTCTACTAAATCAAACAAGAGCGCGATCAAACAAATTTAATCTGCTGAGTATAGAAATTTAAATGCATATTTGCACATCTACCTTTTGCTTGAATATGTTATAAGAAAGAATGAGTCGTGCTCACATTTTTTCTCTCTTCCATTGTTTATTCATTGAGTCATTTTTTTCAGCTGTAGTGTGATTGATCACATGTCTTCACAAACCAACTTTTAGTATGGGAGGAAATGAAACTATTAAACCTCAAGCAGAAAATGTAGCAATATTTTAGGAAGTGAGACTCAGGCGTGGAACTCCTTTCTCCTCCAGCTCTGTCAGAATTCTGCCTAGGGATATCGTCTTTCTTGTGGCAGCTCTTGTCCTGCCTAGACTCGTCTCAGCCAGCGTTACCTTGTTTCATCATCTTGATTTTAGTTGCTCTCCCCTGAACTTAAGGTCCTGATTTAATGATATCTTCACTTGATTGAGCAAATGCGTCAGGGACTGTCAGTGTTCAGCATGTGTCGATTCTATTTAAGGGTCATTATTTGCAGCCAATGAAAGTGACTGGGGTTGGGGGTGACAGCACAGTGAGTCCAATGCAGTCTTTTCTGAAATCAGAGCCAGTGTTGTAAATTTCCTTGTTTACTATTTATTCCTTGTACATCCGTTTCAAAGGTCCGATCTTTTCATTCTGGCCAGAAATGACTAGGGTTAATGCTGACATTAGTGAACCCTGAAGAGAGATTGTTGTTAGAGTAAAGGCGTCTTGTATAAGATGGAGAAAACCTGATCATCCTTTTTACCCTTTTTTATTAACTACAATTCATTCTTACTGTTTCTCCTCTATAACATTAACTTACATATATTAATCATTGAGACTTTACCAAGATACATTTGTAAAATATAGCATGATTGGAAAAGTATTGAATAAAGCCTGCACACTTTTGAGTCATCGTTTATCGTTGCTAAGTTACAGTAAAGGACCCTCTAGTTGTAAGAGTTTGACTGCAAAAGCCCATCAGTAATTATACGAGTCTTGAAAATATGACTGTTTTTGTGAATACTACCCCCAAAGACAGCTTAGTGGGATCTCTTTCAGGCCTCGAGTGAATATTGCACTTGTCGTATGTGAGGATGAAAGGCTTCTCCCTTTTGTTCTCATCGTTTTCTTGAGCTGTCATTATGCTTTGGCGGCCTCGCCATTTCCTTCTGTGTTACTGTAGACACGAATGTCTCTTAGCCTTTTCCCTTTTAAAGTCCACCACCCAGACATTGTTTGTGCAACACAATGCAGAGGAAACTTGTTTGTGGGAGACATTTAGTTCTGTATTCCACGACTGTTCCTCCGCTCCCCGGGGGACCATTAAGACCACAGCACTTGAGGTAGCATTAGCAGTGCTCTCTTATCAACAGCACACCACAGACCGTTGAAGATTGACAGGTGACTCTTCTTTGTATTTCTGCCTAATTGTAAAGTGTAAAGCTTCAGAAGGACGTAAACTTTCCTATTTTAAAGGCCATTTAGGCTGTGCTGCTTTAGTTTACTGCAATTTATGACTGATTTCTGAAAAGGAGATGTACACATTTGCTTGGTTTTAGAAGTACATCTGAAGGAAAACATCACAATCCACATGTCATAATTATACATAATATACACGCCCTGCTAGTACTTTCGTAGTTTGTTTAGAGTAAGACTCTTTTTCTTCCTTAAATTGCCTCATTTTTTGAAAGACAATGGTGATAACACATTTTGACTAATAAAACCTGTTGAGTACTTAATTCCCTAGGACAGCATATTCTAGTTAGTATCTTAAGTTACTTCATTTGTAATTGAGAACAATTGAAAACTCAAAATGTGGAAAGTTTAAAAAATTTAAAATAGTAAACCCTCTAATTAAAAGGAAGTCGTTCAGTCTGTAGTTAGTGGTATCTCTGATGATTGTTGCATGTACTCATTTTTATTAAAATGCATTTATTTGTATTTCAAGCAATAGAGGTAAGAATTAGGTTACTGAAACTTGATTTGTATGATTAAGCACTCTTGAGTTTCTGAGGTTGTCTGTTTGAACAGAATGGTATCTGTGATTTTGGAAAAGGGAAAAATCATTGTGATTCTAATTCCTTAAGAAAAGACAGTTTTTTAAAACATCATTCAAGAGATTGTTAGATATTATAAGAAATTCCCCTTGATAAAGAAGGCTGTCTCTTTAGATGCATCATGAGCAGCACGTATAAAACTTGCAGAGGCCAGTGTTGGGTGTGACTGCAGAGCTCTGGAAAGTGTGTGTGGGTCCTGGTACTGTAGAAAACCAAAACCAAGAAGCAATCTGCTGTGCACTGATCCAGGGAGTGGTGCTCCTAGCAGTCCAGGGTTTGAAGGTGCTCTCGCCTGACCCGTAGTTGTGGGTTGCGATTGTTACTGCAGCTTGTACCAGAAGTGGAAGTAGATTAAAAAGAGCCAGGCAAGTGTAGTTTTAAAGGAAGGTCTGACAGTTGGTGTCCCATCTTTAAAGGCTGGGACAGAGTCAAATTTCATAATACCTTTTATCATCGAGCCAACTTGCACTGAACAAATAAGAGTCCCACAAGTAGGAAAACACATTTCCTTTCCCCTCACCTCTAGTTCCTTCTCCTTTGTTGATGAAAATTAGATAAACACACCAGAGGGGCAGTGCCTCTCCATTATTTATTTTTTATGTCCCCCAGGAGATCAGCTTTTATTTAAGTCCTTTCCTCCCTTTGGGCTTTGTTAGGCTCCTGAGAAGGAAGCTTGCAGACCTCTGGCTCTCAAATCGTTTAGTAACTGAGTCATTCTTAGCGGGACAAGTATTTTAAAAATGAAGCAGAAAAAAAAGAAAGAAAAGAAAGCAAGACAGTAGTTTTTCCAGCAACGTTCATGTGATTGTTACATTATTCATTCGATTCCCAAGGAAAGCTTTTTTTTTTTTTAAAAAAAAATTTGCTTAAGGATCACCAGTTTCTCCCTTGTGTTGCTTCATGGAGACTTCCCAGTGCACAATGAAAGCATTGTGACCATGTGTCCAGGGTGTTTACAACACTAGCCTGTGTGTCTCTAGATGATTTCAAAGGCTGTTTTTCTTTTCCAGGATTGCAGCATTCCGGAGATAGAGCTGTACCCCGAGTCCGACCCTGGGTGCTGCCCTATCTACATTCATCGAGCTGTGCCCAATCTGGAAGAACTGAACATCCCCAAGTCTGCGTCCTTCATGGTGAAGTCGGGCGTGTATGTGTCGGCTTTTCTCAGTTGTAGCCATTAATGGCCACCAGTTAACCTTTTCGCTTCACGTTTCAGTAGATGACCTATGAATTCTGACGTTTTAGTTAGTGTTGTTTATGCTTCCGGATACCCAAGAAAGACTACTTCCTGGTTTAAAACCAATGCTGTCCTTCTTTGGATCCAATTAAGGCTTTGATGTATGACTCCTAGGAGCAGGGACAGAGTCCCCAGCCTTCTTGATAGATGGATCACATTGTCTTTTTATCTAACACATTTGGGAACTGGGAAGTAAAAACATGTCCCTGACTTAGAAACTTGGATCCTGAAGGATGTCTGGCTTGTGTTAGCTGTTGATTCTTTCAGTTGACCATTTCCCAAAGCAGCATAACCACTGCTTTGTGTTTTATTTCCCTGTTCCTGAAAGGCCAAGGTGAGTCATTCTTGCCTTGTTGATGAGTGATCCACCCTGTGGGGCTAGCTGCAAGCAAAGGTTGGCTGTTGAGTGTTGCTTTCTAAGTTATTTTCTACTGACATTAAAGGTACCGCACGTTTTAGGTCTTAGAAAATTCTAGGGCAGCAATTAATTCACAATACTCTACCATATGGTAGAGAGTACATGAATGTAAGCACTTAAGAACATGTGACTGTTCCTCATCATATGCTAATTATTTTGCTACATTTTATTAGTGTAATCCTGGAATTTTTTGATGGCCCCCTTTCCTCTTATAGAGCCAAACTGAAGTATTATTATCATACTGTAACCAACCATTTGTACCTTGTCTAGTTGGCTGGCCTACCCAGATATTAATTTTAAGGGGCAAGCTACAATTTTGGAGGAGGACCAGGGGCTCTTTGAGATTTCTGCAGCAGAAATGAAATCACTGCATCCTCTTCAAATGGTAAGCAGGTTCAACCCGAGGCTCTCCTCTTCCCTGGCACCCACCCCCGCAGAGGAAACACTGCTGAGAGCCCTCAGTCTCAAGACATGAAAGCATGCACCACTGAATTGGCACATTGTATATTGTGTGTTCATGTTTTACAGAACGTTTGCATTTACTTAGAACTCTGGCAGGCAATATGTAGAATTTTTTTTTTAAAAAATAAGCATTCCATGAAATTTTAAATATTGATTAAAATCTGGAGTTTTTCTTGCTGATGCTAATTAGAAAATTAGTTGTAGGAGATTGTCTCTTCCAGTTTAGTAATGGATAGTAAACTCAGCATTAATAATAAATTGGCTGCTCTTTCACTGTTTACCGTGTTAAAGATTAAATAAGTGCCTGCAGCATCTCTGTGGCAAGCTTACTTATTTTTTTTTTTTTTTTGACGAGCAAGCTGTTCGATTAAGTGCAGGCTATATGATAAAATATGCTTGGTCCTGTGCCTTGGAAAATGGAAACAAGGACAAATGCAGAAACTTTAAGCAACATCACAACGTGGAGTAGCATTTTTAACACTTTAACATTATGTAGTGAAGGCTTTTGTGAGACTGATGTTACTTTTTATACTGTACAGTCTCGATGTGACAAGGGCTTTCGGTATGATGAGCTGTGTTGCGGAACTGGGGGGAGGAGGTGTGGAGATGGTGCAGTGTCCTAATTTAGACAGCCTGACTGACATAGGGGATGCGTTTGAATACCGGCCTTAGAAAGGTGCCCTGCCTAGGGTGTCTTCTGGAGCTTTTAGCAGTCCCATCCTTCTATTTGGGGTACTCTACAGCTGCAATTTAACCTTTAATTGGTTGTGTTTGTGTAAAGGTCCTTTGATTACTGATCTGACAGCTTTTAAAAACGTCTTGCCCTGTCCCTACTCATATAGGTCAGTCAGTCTGACTTGGTTTTGACTACTGTAGGGTTCTGAATTTACTATAGTTAAAATTTGACTGCTGCATTGTCTTAGCTAATGAGATTTTTGTAACTTACACATAACTTGGTTACCTTTCCCCTTCTTATGTATTTACATTGTTCTTTTAAATATCTTGTCATCTTTAGGGCGGACTGAAAGTGGAAATGCCTATGAACTTAAAGGTAAGTCTTGAACTGTAGCCCAGCTCAGAAGTCTGAACACGAATCTTTAATACTTTGATATGAGACCGTCCTAATGATTGGAGGCTGTAGGAGTTGGAAGTGACTGTGTGGAAGGTTTACTGAGGGCCCCATCTGTGACTGTGAATGGGGAGTGAAGATGGCTTACAGGCTCGGAGGTCTGTGCTGCCATCTCCCGCAGACCCACTGTCAGAAGGAGGCTGGTTTGATTTTCGTTCCATGCTGAGACTGAAGCTGGGTACTCAAGTGAATTCAAGTGAGCTCAGCAGGACTCAGAACAATGCTTGGAAAGAGGTCAATGTAGAGGAGTTAGAAAGGGCTAGCTCCTATTGGAGCTGTCAGTTTGCAAGTTTGAGTGCCTGAAAGGGAGGGTAGAGGCAATGCAAACTGGGTGGCAGAAGTGACAGGGTCAAGCATGTTAGAAAAGGAAAAAAATTACAAATATGGGTGAGGAGAGATCGGACGAAAAATATGTCCTGTGGTCAAAGGTGCAAACAGCCTTCAAAGATAGGAAGTAGCCCCTCCAGCCAGAGGTGGGTATGGAGGACGACACCCATCCTCGCTTTTCACAAAGTAAGATGCCATGCCTCCAGTCCCCTTCTTCCTCCACATCACAAGTTACAGAATTGACTGTGATTTTCTCAGTCACACGGATGGATTCGTTTAAAACTCGCATGGCTCAGTGCATGTCTTACACCCGGAGCGCACGCTGGGGTCATCTGAGTCTTAAGAAAACTTGAGCCTTGTCTCCCTTCTCAAGTATGCTGTTGTGATTCTGAATGAGGCCAGAAAGTCTTCAAAGTTTCCCAGGTGACTAAAAATGCAGCAAAGGTTGCAGGCGGCTGATCTAACTAATAAAGGTAGAATTACCTGTGACACTCTCTCATGTGACTCCTGCTGCCGCCTCCAAGTGTTGTGAGTCACGGCTTGAGTGTGAAAGGCTGAGCTATCCTGGGGCGTTTGCACTTTGACACATTGTAGGCCTCTGAGTAGACTGATTTTCCTAAGTAATCACAACTTGCCAATTAGAAATTAATTAACATTGGTGATGTCATAAGAGCTTGTTCATGAGTACTGCTTTTTACTTTACGATCATCCCATGCAGCAAATAAACCGGAATAAAACTTCACTGTGTGTATAATATTTGTATATGTTAACTTCATAACATATCTATGATTATTATAGCTTCCTGTGAAAAGCTAGTGTGTAGTGTTTTTTAGTCTATAATGTCATAAGTTTTTGTTTTTGTTTTTTAAGAAACAAGGTATAAGTTTTAACAGTTTTATATACTTAAGCCTAGGCATTTATCACCAAGATCTTTGGTTTTAGTTGTATACAGATAATTTCCATTAGCCACAGGAAGGAAGAAGGGTGAGGTATGGAGGGATCCACACTGTTACCACAGCCATGGATTTAGGGGAGGGGGGTACCTGAAAGGTAAAGACATCAGAACAGTAGAGAGCCCTGTGTTAATAGTTCTCCACTGCCTACCTGCTTCCTGCAGGTGGGATGTGAGTTGAATTCACAACACAAGAGGATACAAAGAAAATTCCAGAACCAGCTATAAGGCAGTTTAGCCTACACAGTGGTCCTAGCGTTTGGGTAACCAGGAAAATGTAATAATAGCCAGGCCCACTAATGTGAAAGAAGCTCGAGAAGAAATGATCGGCCCAAAGAATGATGATGGCACAGACATACTTGGTGAATGTCAAATGCTGTTTTCTGTCATAAAATTAACTTTGAAAGCACATGTTACACCCTATTCATGTTTTGTCTCTAATGCCACTAAAGTCTATCCATGGTACAATATGAATACGTTAAATAACAATTTCGTGTCTTTCAGGTTATCCTTTATGAAAAACCTCACTTCCATGGACATACCAAAGAATTTAGCGAACACATAGATTCTGTCCCTAAGTTTTTAAAAAGTGATAAGGACTTCCATGGCATTGGATCAATTCGTGTCATTGGTGGAGTGTGAGTGTCACATTTTCAATACATGATTTATTAGCCTACTTTTTGCAATTAGCTCAAACAATATGCTAAAGAAGACAAAGTCAGCCAACCTTAACCTTAATCTATCTTCTTTCTGTCATATAGTAAGTAAAATACACAACTTAATAGTGATTGGCCCTACTTATTGGTTTTAAAGACTTACTGGTTTTCAAGATTTTGAAATAGAAACTATACTATGTATTTAATGTAAAATTTCAATACCTAGCATTTCTAAAATACCATAGAAGAATTACAAGGTAAATTTCTATTTTTTACAGACTATGAGCTTGGGGGAAGGCCTGGATTCTTAATCTGCTGTTCTGTTGACCTATTAATATTGGTTAACTTATGCTCTAAGGGCCTTGGTAGTGAGTTATCTCATTAAAGTAACAGAGTAAGCTCTGTGATCTCAGAGTCAAAGATTGACATTTGTAGTCTCCTGTCCTGGAAGTACTTTGGATGAAACTGTCCAAAAACCATTAAATATAAACACAGGGGTTTCACTGCGACCCCAGCCTCAATCGGCATTACTCTAGCAAAAGTCCTAAGAAATTTGTAACCAGGCTGGTCTTTGCCTGTTTTGTGTTCTTGTGAGGGTAAAAACACCAAGTAGAAACTTGGCTGATAGCAGATTTGCTGTGGAGAGGCCCGTGCCGGGATCCATCCAAAAACATTCTCATGGATCCCTTCACACAGTGGTTGTTTTGAATGTGGTTCATTTTAATACCAAGCATTGATGAAACTTGTTAATGCCCTCTAGCAAACGATGCTTTTAAAATATCCATAGGTGTGAACCTGTCTACAGTCACCTATGGTTCTCTATTCGCAGTTTGTGGTACGAACTAACACATTAGGCTGGTATGGTTGCCATACCAGCCTAATGAGAATAGGAGAACACTCTAATACTAGTAAGTAGGTCATATTGATACTTGGTCTGGTATGCCGATAATCATTTAGTTCCTTATCCCTAAATTAAAAGTGTTACTTGGTGTTGAAAGGACAGATAAAGTTGAGTAGATACGTTCTTAGTCTATTGTGTTTATTTGTAATATTGTGTTTATTATAATGTTCCCTGATTTGTGGACACACATGTATATTGCTAAAACTCTGCTATAGAAGGTTTTTGTCTGTTTTTCCTCCTAAGACCTAACCTAAATGTTTTTACCTAGATGGATTTAAAACTGGTTGTCTGCCTGAAGAGTCATCTGCTAAAATTTAGTGTGATGAATACCGTTATTTCTTACAATTGCTTTTTTAAAAAGCGTCAAAGATTGGCCTGTGATAGAGAATACACACTTTCAGTTTTATGTGACAGTCAGGAGAAAAACACGATGCCCACACTTAGAAATGACAAGCTAACTTGATTGTTTTTCAACACTTGTTTCATTTCTTGGCTTTTTAGCTGTTTAGCTTTATTTATGGAGAATATGGGTCCTTTTTCATCCCTGTCCCACCTTGAGGAATCTGAGGTCAGTAAAACTGATGATCTTGCTAGGCTGTGGTGACACACGCCTTTAATCCCAGCAATCAGGAGAATCTCTGTGAGTCCAAGGCCAACCTGGTCTACAGAGTAAGTTCCAGAACAACCAGGGCTACACAGAGAAACCCTGTCTCCAAAAGCCAAAACAAAATGAAAACAAAAAACAAAGCAAAACCAATAGAAACAAAACCCTTAATTCATCTTTTAACATTAAAGTCTTGGTACTCTTCATTATTTTTCTCAGTCAAATATAGTTCAAAATGGGCTTCGGATAACTTCCTTGATACAAAAGAAAACTTAGACTGTGTTAAGTTTTTACATTATAGTTTAAGAATATAATCATCATGTTAATACTGTCTGTATTTCAAACTCACTAAAACGTACTAGAATGTTTATAGGCTCTTTGGGCGTCTTGTGGAATTCTACTCCCTAGCATTGCATATACCTAGAAACAGATGGATGGCCACAAGTGTAGTACTTTGTGCTGTGTGAAAAGAGTTTGGTTTTATATATACACACTGCTTCAGATCGGTGGAGAAAGAATAATTAATAATAATAATAGACATCCTTCTTGGGATTCCTTTTTTTTTCCTTCAAGTTTCTGAATCTGAAAGTCCCTATTTTGGAGGGTAAGAATAGTCAGCCTTGCAGGCTATCCCTTTGGAAGGTCCCACCTTTACTTCATTATCCAGGTAAAGGCTACTTTTTGGGGGGGGGGGCAGCGCATTTTATGAGTCCTCTTTGCTCACATTGCATTAGGTGCCGTGGTGTAATCTTTCTAAAAGCATAAGGTTCCCAGTGGAGTCTAAAAGCCTGTAGAGCTTATCAGTGTCTCCCGATTCTGTGAGAGTAGAACTCAGGAAGCTTGTGTCCCTGGAAAGTACTCCGCAGAAATGCTTCCTGTTTCCACGATGAGTACTGATAAGACGCTAGGATGAAGCTTTCCCACCCATAAGTATTTACAGGCAGACATTTCATACATACAGGATTCCAGCTCAGTAGTCTTTCCCAGTTTCTCTTTGGGAAACCTCCCTGTATTGTTTTTTATCTGCAGCTGGGTGAAGGGTTCCTTTGGCTTACACCCTGAGTAAATGATTAATAAAATAGTCCTTTCTTGTTTCGAGAAGGGCTTAATCGGTGTATTGAAAATGATTTCTTTGGATTTCAGTGCGGGTTTGAAACTTCTCTCACTGGCTATGTGTTCTTTGCATTATTTCTACTTGGCAAATTATTCTCTGACCATGGTGAGACACGGTACTAGTCATTTCACAAACACTTAATGAGCTTGCTCTGTTGCAATGCTACAATTAACCTTTTGTTGGGAAACGTTTCCACACTATAAAAATTATTGATCCACGAGATGTGTACCATTTGCCCATCTTTGTGCCTGAAAACAAACAAGGTCATTTTGAATACTAGACAAATAACATTGTTCCTTGTCATCGTACTTTTCTCTTTTGCTTTCTTAAAACTAGTTTTATCAGTGGCTCACTTGAGTCTCCTGTTTTTCTAGGTGGGTTGCCTATGAAAAGGAACATTTCAAAGGCCAGCAATTCCTACTTGAAGAAGGAGACTTTGAAGATAGCAGTGTTTGTGGGGCATTGAGTGGCCCCATCATGTCTTTCCGGTACCTACAAGCTGTGAGTTTGCTTTCGTAACATTAATTCGTACCTGTTTTATATTTTCATAAAAATGAGACATGATTTCTGATAGAGCCTGATGTCATAGCACCTGAGAGTATCCCACTGAACAGGACTTGCCTGTTTTTCTTGCCTGCGGTGATTATTATAAAGTATCTGTATTTTTCAGTTTTTATTTTCCTTTTGTTTTTGAGACAGTCTTTCTCTGTGTAGCCTTGACTGGTCTGGAACTCACTCTGTAAACCAGGCTAGCCTAGAACTCCCAGAGATCTTCCTGCCTCTGCCTTCTGTGTGCTGGGATTGAATGTGTATACCTCTATACCTGGATTACTTTTCCTATTTCATCCATTGAGTCCATTATTTTTGAGTGCCTCCTTTGTTAGGTGTATTGTGATAAACACAGCATATAGTAGCCGGAGGCCCCCATACCAACACCCAGAGTCGGCAGTCTGGTAGGGAAGGTAGCATAGAGATAAATAGCGTTGTTAGACTGTGACCAGATTAAGTACTCAGATATCCATTAAAGAGCCATTTGGTCAGTTCTCCCTTCTTGGAGTACAGAGGACTGCACAGGACAGATGCTGGTGTAGCTGAGGCTCCTGTTCACAGTCACTGGAGTGAAAAGTTTCCAGGGTAGACAGACTGCATGAAAGGAAAACAGAGGTTATTTTATAGCAAGAGATTGGCCCACGTTAGTGGGTGAAGTTGAGAGATTAAGCCATAGGTTCTCAGCTGAAGGTAGTCTTTATCCACGTGACACCATCTGGAGATGTTTTGGATTGTTGATATTTCAGGGGACGTGGATCTACTGATATCTAGTGGGTAGAAGCCAGGAAATCCTGCTGTAACCCTGTGTTGTGCAGGTCTCCCCAACAATGAAGAATAACAGGATGGGCCACTAGGACAACTCGTTGGTAAAAGTCCTTGCTGCCAAGCCTGATGACCTGAGTTCAATCCCCAGGATGCACATGGTGGAAGGAGGAAATTGATTCCCTTAGGTTGTCCTCTGATGTGCACATGTGCGCGCACATACCACCACCGCCACCAACAGCAACAAACAATAACAACAACAGTAGTAGTAGTAAAGAATGTCAGAGCCCACAGATTCTCACAGTGCCAAAGTTGAGAAACCTTTATGCGAATAAGGTGTGTTTAGAGATGTATGTTCGATGTGTTAATTCAGGATGTAAGAGAGAACTTTGGAAGGAGGAGTACAGTGAATGAAGGCCTAGGGCCAGGGAAGAGTTCCAATTCATTCCTGAACTGATTGTGAGTTACTGGTGAACTTTTAGGCCCAGTGGACATTAGAAAATTAGTGGCTTAGGAACAGTGTTTTGGTGACTATATGAAGAAGTAGAAGAGTTAAGAGAGAGGTGATGCTGGAGCTGAGAGGTCTGGAGTATCACAGAATTCCAGGCAGCCCGGGAGGTGATGGATGGATGCTACAGTGTTCCTGGGATATTGGGGTTTATCAAATGTGGCGTGTCACCCTGAGAAGCCCTCTCGACTTTCTTTTGAAGTATCTCCAGTAATGGTTCTCAACCTGAGGGTCCAAGGACATTTTCACAGGGTTGGCATATTGGATATACTGTATATCAGATATTTACATTAAGATTCATAACAAATACATGGCCTTAAAGAAAACCTTCACAGCAGAAAAGAGGATTTCATTCCATCAAAGGCTTCTTAGACTTGTTAAGTCACTGGTAACTATTCATATAGGGTCACCTGTCAGGATGGTCCACATATATAGCATGTTTACATGAGTTTCAGATACTTTACGAGAAGTCTATCACTACATCCAAATTAATTATACTGAAAGAACTATTCATTTCTAGATTTAAATTTTAGAACTATGCATGAAAATGTATGTATACATTGTCAAACGTCTTTAAAGACACGGTGTTCAAGTTACATTTTGAAAAATTGTGTATTCTTCAGCCAGGCCCATAAATGGGAAGGTGTGATTGTGACCCTGGTCTGGTATGACATCTCCTTTCCCCATAGGCCGGGATGTCTGTAACCTGGGAGAGAGGGAAGCATGGCAGTCCCAGTCTGAGTTAAAGTCATGGGAAATCTCCTTGTGACCAGGCAGGAAAGCTGTGTCGTGTGGTGTCAGCTGAGAGATCCTGGCCGCACTACACGGAACACTCTGGATTTGCTAAGGTCAAATAGCGGATATGTTCCTCTGGAATGATGGGAACTGTGCCAGTCAGCGATCTGAAGAGGACGAGGAGAAACGCATTCCCAGCTCCAAATGAGTCACTCAGATGTTCCCGTGTGGCTGATTGCTCTTTAGGAAGTGCATGAAAGGCATGCAGTGCAGTTCAGGCTGGGGGTCAAGGAATTTTTATTCATTCTCATCCTCCATAAAATGTGCTCTGTGTGCATGTTTTCCTTCAGTTTTATGCTAGCTGCCTGTCTAGATTTACTTTTGCTGTTGGACTTTGCTTTTTGCCAGATCCAGAGTATGAACCCAGGTGGAGTTGGGGACCACTATAAGTTAACAGATTCAGCAGGACTCCGTTGGCTCTGAGATGACAGTGTCCACCCAGGGTCATAACCTACGAGCTCACTGGCTGGATCAGCCCAGAGCATTTATGGAATTTCAGAGTCATCATATTACAGAGCTCTGGGATGCATCCCCGGGCTTCAGGCGACTCTCAGGCTTCTCACAGGCAGTATTCTGCTTGAGACTGTACTGAATAAGTCAAGCACTTAAAAACTATAAACCAGACCATAGCCTTGGAAGTCCTTTCACTACTGTCCATCCTCCTTGAGCTGCTATCCTACCCTCACCTGCATGCAGTGACTTAATGTGCAGAGAATATCTGGGACGTGGTAACCTAGAAATTGTAGGTGGACCCTAGACATGGCTGCACGTGTCTTCCATGCGTCTATAGAACAAGGCACTTCTGTGTTTCGTTTCATTGTTTTGGGGGTTTTCTGGGTGATGGGGAGCCCAACCCAAGGCCTCATTCATGCTGTGCAATCACTCCACCATGAACTAACAACCCCCGCCTGATTTTTGCATATGTAAATCCTCATTTTGTCTGTGTGACATCTAGAAGTTCATACACAGGAGGCTGGGCCCAGCACTGGCACCTGACTGAGCACACAGGTTGGCTCTGAGCCCCAGCTCTGGCTGTCAGGGTTACTACCTCAATACTGCCAGTCAGCTGGGTCTGATCTCACGTGTCTGACTAGTCTGAAAGAAAAATGCAGGGACAAAACCAGGCGAGTGGTTCAGAGGGAGAGAAGAAACTGGGAAAAGTTGGAAAACAGAAGCTGTGAAGCAAGAAAAGCCATAAATAGAAGTAGAAAATAGAAAGAGGGGAGCTCCACCACTTGGGCCTTCGCTGCAGACCACTGCTGAGGCTTTGGGGATGGGAGACAATGTAGAAATCTCAGCCCGCGCTTTCTGTAGTGATTCCTGTGTAAGAGGCCGCTCCTCTCCTTAGCTTCAGGCCTCACCAGCACACATGGCCTATGCCTCCAGACCATTTCTCAGATGATTCTTCTGGCTGCAACTGCTCCCCTCCTGCTCATACCATGTGATGTGTGCTTGTGCTTGCTCAAGTCAAGCACAGCCCTGCTAGCGCAGCACTTTCTGAATGAAAGGGCAGATAGATAACACCCATATAAATGTCAGTGTTTTTCTGCGTCCTTCTCCAATGAAACAGTGATCCAAAGCACATTTCAAGATCCCAAGACATAGGAAATGACAGGCACTCACGGAACCAGAGGAAGGAGAGATAGAGGCAGGGAGTTTGAGTCATGAGAAATGGGGAGGAGAGGTCACAATCAGCACAGTGACTGAGCACTGCCCCGAACCTTTCCTTTAGGGTTACATCTGGTTTTGTTGGTCACTGGTGATGTTGGTTGCTGACAAGCTCCTGCCCGAGCCCAGTACAGCCCTCACAGTTGCTGTCCGCTGGCCAGTGTGCTTTCAGCATGGAGGAACGGGTGTGTCTGTGTCTGGGAGGGAGCCTCTGGTAGGGACGTTCCTGTAAAGTGACCACAGGTTATTGAAGTCTCATTCCTTATATAGCCTACTTATTGTGTGCATGCCTGTGTGTGTGTGTGTGTGTGTGTGTGTGTGTAAGTAAAAGCAGAGATTAGAAAAACTAAGAAATGTTTTAGAAGTGAAGTCCTCCTCTTCCAGAAATGAAGTTTTAATAAGAGCTGGGACATTGGCTGATCCAACATGAACCCTTTCAGTTTATTTTTTTTAATAGAGCATGTGAAATATGAAAAAAGAAGAGAGTAGTTCTTGATTACAAAGGTGCCTCTGGAAATAGAATTGAAAACTCGATTATGGGTTAGAAATTATTTTGTAATAAAAGTTTTAGGCAAAAGCTGTCGTCTTTTTCTCTGAAGTTTGATATAACATTTGACCTCTCTTTGTCAACAATTTTTAAATCCTTGAAAGTTGTCCAGGTTGTGTTAGCACATGCCTTTAATCCTAACACTCAGGAGGCAGAGGCAGGCAGATCTCTGAGTTGAGTTCGAGGCCAGCCTGGTCTACAGAGTGGGTTCTAGGACAGCCAGGTCTACACAGAGAAATCACATCTCCAAAAACCAAAAGAAATAATGATTAATAATAATAGTAATAATAATAGAAGAAATAAAAAAGAAAATGAGCAAGTTGTTCAGTACAGGAAAAAAAGAACATTTTTCCTACTCACTAAAGAGGCTGTTTTCTTATTTTGAACTCTGTTTTACTTGCCCATAAGGAATAGTGTTCTGCCTGGAACTCTTGTATTTATAGATCTTATTTTAAAACTTAAAAAAGTAAAAAGTTTAGTACAGTGGGTTATAGAGAAATTGACAGCATTTTCTGTATTTCAAAATGGTGGACTAATAGATATTTGTGTTTGTGCACAGGTTTTTGCATGTGTGCGTGTGTGTGTGTGTGTGTATTCCTGTGTATATAGGTCATGTCTCCCTCTAAATCCCTACACTTGCGCATGTGTGGGTGCCTGTATTTGTGTGTGTGTGTGTGTGTCTGTGTAGGTCAGAGGTTGGCATTGCATGGCTCCCTCTAAATCCCTACACTTGGCTGTTAGAGCCGGCTTCTCTCACTGATCCTGGGCATCACCGATTTGTCCAGGCTGACTGCCAGAGAGTTCTATGTGTACTATGCTCAGTTTTGTTTGTTTGTTTTAAGAAAATTTTATACATGTTTGCAGTGAAGTATGATCTTAACTGCTTACCATGTCCTCCTTCCAACTCCTCTTATATGTCTCCAGTATGTACCTGCCACTTTCGTATTCATGCCTCTTTAAAATAAAAACAATTGGCAGCTCATTCAGTCCAGTTAGCGCTACCTGTGTGCATGGGTGCAGGGCTGTCCTTTGAGTTCTGCGTCCTCACTGGTCACGTGCCCTTTATTCCGTCTCCCCAGGTGAGGTGCGGAGCAGCAGTGACACTGTGTCCTGCAGTTGTCCCTCCACGCCTCACCTGGGGAAATGGAATGCAGGTCACATTGCTAGTGAGGAGCTGACAATAAATTTGAGTCCAAATCTGTTTATTCATCTACCCTGAGCTGTTAAAAGGAACAAATATTGTTGACATTATAGATATGCAAAAAGAAATGTTGATAAAGAAATTATATGTAGCATCTTTTAAAGTTAAGGGTGTTTATCATTGGATAGAAAGAAACAGAAATTTTTGTTCAATGTAGTTTTCAATTTCGATAACATGTACGTTCTTTTTTTCTTGGTTTTTCGAGACAGGGTTTCTCTATGTAACAGCCCTAGATGTTACATAGCCCTAGCTAGAACTAACTCTTGTAGACCAGATTGGCCTTGATCTCATAGAGATCTATCTGTCCAGCCTCTGCTTCCCGAGTGCTGGAATTAAAGGCATGTGCTTCCACTGCCCAGCTGATAACATGTATGTTTTACTATATATTATTTAAGTCACTTCCTGGAGGACTGTAATACAATATTATGTCTAGTTCTTTTTAAGTTGCTTAATTTACTAGTGAAATTAGGAATCTATGTGTTTGATTTTAATGTTGCTCCTGTGAGTGGCCTCTGTCTTTAGCTGATTATGTATTTGTATTTGTGTTTAAAGTTTTCATAAGATCATAATGTATCAACTTTACAAACAATTTTCCTGATTTTTGAGCAAGTGACTTCTTTAAAGCTCAGCAGTATTTAAGACTCATAAAATTGTGCCTCCTGTTGCTCACAGTCCATTGTATTTTCACTTAGCCTTGTGAGATTTTGCTCAAGTGAGAGTTTGAGTATTTTCTGTAATGAGTTAAATATGATGTATCTAATTCTAGAGGTTTACCTAAAACTGTTGACAGATTTCCATGTGTTTGACTTACATTATTTTCAGATTAGAGCAAATAAAGGCTTAATGTTTTTCTCTAAATGATATTGGAATAGAGATTACAGCATTGTATTTCATGCCATTAAGATTCTTCCTGAAATTATTTGTGTGAACATTATCCCGACTGTGTGGAATTGTGTCACATACATTCTCTTAAACAGCCCTCCTCCCTCCTTTCAGAACTTTATAGAGTCTGCTGTCACACTGTTTGAGTCTGACATGGAAAGGGGGAAGTTCATCGACATTACAAATCAGGAAATTTCGGACCTAGAAGAAATCGGGTTTGGCAGTGAAACCAGATCCATTTACGTGAAGAGTGGCGTGTACGTAGCCCCTGCCTCCAGAGCCTGGGGGGTTGGCAGGGCTTAAGTCTGTGAACTTCTCGACTCTACCGCTCTCCTGTTCTCTCCCTACTAGATGGGTTGCCTACCGCCAGAAGTTCTTCTGTGGAGATCAGTACATTTTAGAGAAAGGAAAATACAAATGCTTTTTTGATTGGGGAGGAACAAGTAATACAATCTTGTCGATCCGACCAATCCAGCTGGTAAGTGAAGTGTGGGGCAGACAGACACCAGAAGCATGCAAGGAGATACAGTTGAGTGTAGAGCACTGTTTGAAAGTGGTTAGGTTTAGATTCTCTTTTATGTTTCTGTACACAGTAAATAAAATACCTCATGTATTTCTACTGATTGCGGAGGGAGCTAGTAGACAGGAACACATACTTGAGGCATCCCTGTACTAGAACCAGTTCATCCATTCAGCAGCTTGGCTTTGTACTTCTGTCTTGTTAGATACTGTTGTGCCGATTCACTGGAGATACAGATGAATATGACTGCCCTGATGGCTCGTGATCTCTTAAAGGGAGAGAGATTGATGGGCAGTTCACTATAGTGTGGTTAATAGGAAGATGAAGTGTGTAGATCATGCTGGACGAGATGGGGGAAGGACGCTCTGTCACTGAGGGTTAACACCTTACAGAAAGAAAGGACACTGGTAATACTCACGGGGGTTCTTCAGGCAGAAAGAAGCCCATTGAGAGGGAGATGTGTGTAGAATCACAAAGTGTCAGACACTGTGGCTGTGTAAATGAGAAGAACCACTGAGTGACCTGGGTGTTTGTTCCTTAGTGTCAGAAATTGAGGACCTTTCTCAAGTGCGCCTGGATGTTCTCTACTCCTAGCTACAGGAGTACTCAAACTAGTCATGAATACTAAAACTATTCCAAGAAAATTCCATAGGTTGTTTGGGACAGAATGGGTCATAGATAGATGAAGGAATTTAGTAAATTGGTAAGACCATGAGAATCTTATTCTTGGGATATTTTCAAAACATTCTGAAGCTGGATAAGCTAAGATGATATGACACAATTTTAAAAATATTTTAATATGTCTTTCAGGAACCACTTGGGATAAATGAGCCTCCACATTTGGTACGTTTCAAAATATTCTTAACTTAATCATTGGTGGAGTATTTACCAAAAGCATTTACACTTTCTCAAATCTTTCCCTGAGATAACTTTTATGTGCCTATGTGACAAAACAAGTTCCTGTTGGATTCGGTGGCTTTAAGCACAGGAGTGTCCTTTATGTTGGTGGGATTGTCTGAGCTTTGTCACAGCATCCACAGTGGGTCATTGGAACCGGTGCCCCTCGATCTTTCCTATAACCAGTCCTCTCTGTCCCTGCCATCATCTTTCTCAGCACCGCATATCTCCATGTTCCTGGAGAAGCAGAGAACTTGCAGCCGTGCCCCACCCCCGCCTCATGCTGTGCTTACTATGTATACAGGCTTAGGAAACATTTTTACTGCGCTGATTTATTTTCTTGGGAGGGGTGTGCTCTCCTGCCGTGGTACATGTGTGTGGCGGTCTGAGGGCGACTTGTCGGAGAAGGTTCACTCCTTCTACCATGTAGATCTCTGGTGTTCACACTCAGATCATAAAGCTTGGTGACACGAATCTTTACTCCCTGAGCACAAGCACCCTTAATCTGAGCCTTCTCATTTTCCTGAACATGGATTTCTGATCCTTGTGTGATTTTTTTTTTTAAAGCTCTAGTAACCTTAAACCTCCCTCTCGTCCTCTCTCTGTTTCCATTTCTCTGTCTCTCTGTCTCTGTTTTTCTCTCTCTGTATATGCATGTCAGTGGTTCCAAAGGGTTTGGATAAAACACCAAAGCCTACTGTTGGTTTATTGTATTCCAAGGTCTAATAATTGCATTCGGTTAGTGTTTGTAATAATTCTGTGTGTGTTACTCATTTATGAACATAAAACTTGAGATTCTGAATTTAAGTCAGTGTCATTATCATACGGTTAGAGGAAGGAAAGGAGACATCCTGTAGTTTCTGTTTTCAGAAGGACCTACATAGGGACAGAAACACAATGAAAGAGAAAGACGGGGGAGGAAAAACACCGCTTTCCCTGTTTCTTTTAAAAAATAGCCTGGTTAGAAAACTTCCTGTCCAAAGGCACATGTAGTGATGGATGACCAGTGACATTGACGACTGTAACATGGTGGAAGTCTGCTGAGTGTGTGCAGTTCCCATGTTCCTGTCAATGCCTATCTGTTTCAGCTCAGCCTACTTTAATCACGTTCTCCTCACTAGAAGTGCTCCGATGTTTTTGTTATTTTCTAGTTAGCTGAGACCTTTAGAAACAGTTCCTCCTTGAACATAATTGAGAAGTTGTATTTAGAGATACTTCCTGCCAGAAACTTTATTTTGGGTTTTGGGGAACCTCCAGCTGTGGATTTTTAAAGCTCACGTTTTTACATGAATCAGAATAGCATGTGTAGGTGAAGAGGGCTAATTCAAACTGGTTTTTTTTTTCTTTTCTGAGTTTCTAGAGCAGATTAAACATCCCATTCTTCTGAGCTGTTTTCTCCCCGTCCAACTCCTTGCTCTTTATTAAAATGAGCTTCATTGTTTGGGGGAAGATAGCTGGACTTTCTTTATAGTGCTTCCAGATCGACTGGAAGAGGAAGACAGCAGCAGACGCCCAGTGAAATCGGTTTGCTTCATTTGTCTAGCTGTGGCTCAGTTACTGTGAAATGCGTGTTTCTGACAAGTGTATGCTAGCTGATGTTTGGTCATGTGTGTACAAAGCCTCTTTGTTTATGCAGCATTAGAACCCCTGGGTTAGGCCTTTTTATTGTTTATATTTACCTAGACAAAAACAAGCAAATCTTGGCAGTGTTCACATAGAGTATTTTCCTGCCTGAGTATGGAGGCAGTTATAGTTCAGGGTTCAGGTCAAAGAAGGATTTTTTTTGTTTTATGTTAATTATCTCAAGGGAAACTCTTAAGTCACCCAAGGGGGGATAAATCTAAAAAATGTGCAGAGAGTAATATGTATCATTATAAAGTTATAAACATAGGATTGCTGGGAGTTTTGTAAGTATGAAAATATATATTTAATTGTTATACTAAAAGAAACCAGCATTTATGGTGGAGACTGTTTTTCTCTTAAGACACAGACCCGTCACTAAGTCTGATTACCAACTAGAGAGTCACATGGCATAGTAGAACTCTCCATCAGTGGAGGTGGCATTTAATTTTGTTTTTATTCCCCCCTCCCAAACAAAAGAAACACTAAACAGAGTATGGATTTTTGTCATTACCTCTCCGACTTAGCACTTGTTGAAGATCATATTACTAGATTAAATATTATAAAAGTTAATTTCTTCATAGGGGAGATTATAGTGATCCCTTTGACCTAATCCGCTACCTTGGATCCTTAGGACCATTATGAAGTCTGTTTACAAATATAATTGTTTAGAATTCCTGAAATACAGAACTGTTATTCTACCCCATGGTAGCAGAGAAAAATAAACCAAGTGAATTCTTCTGTTGTGTAACTTAGCTTCAGTGACCTTTGAAGTGACAGAGGAGTTTATAATGGCTTTGCTTGCTGTCACAAAGGGCAGCGGTTCTCACCCTATGGATTGTGACCCCTTTGGGGGTTGCATATCAGGTGTTTACATTAAGATTCATAACAGCAGCAAAATTACAGTTATGAAATAGCAACGAAATAATTTTTCTGGTTGGGGGTCACCACCTTATGAACTGTTTTAAAGGACTGCAGCATTAGGAAGGTTGAGAACCACTGATAAAGAGGGATTTTTAAACACTCAAAAGGAAGAACTATTTAAACAAAATTTTGTTTAAATTTTGGTGGTAAGAAAGATAAAAATTTTATAGTATTAATTGATGTGAGAAATTGATTTAGGTTGGGTATAATTGAAGATGGAAAGAAAGTGGTTTTTTGGTTGTTTAACAGTCTCCATGTATCTATGAAGATGGTCAGAATGTTAGAGAAAATATTAGAGGGGAGAACTTAGAAATTATTTTAGTGTTAATGTAAATAAAAGTACCTTCAAAGTTTCTGCTGATCCTGTGGAATAAATTGAGCAGGCCTTCTGTTTTTGGTCAATAATTTAGTTACTGGATTTTTAGTTTGTCAAGCTAGAGCCTATTACATTTTCTTCATGTGTATCATGAATGAAAATTACAATTAAATAAAGTTCTATGAAATCTTAGCCATAAAGTGTTGGTGATAATTTCTGCCTCGAGGAAAAAATATGGCAGTGCATGTGAAAAATACCTTGTCATCAAGTGGCAGAATTTTCTTTCTTTTCTCTCCTTTCCTCCCTCTCTCCTGCTTCTCTTCCTCCCTTCTTTCCTCTTTCCATTTTCTTGCTTCTGTATACTTCCATGAAGGAGACTGGTCGGAATAAACACATTTCCACATGGTCCATGGTGATGCATGTAGTTTGCAGATACCTCGTATCTTGTTCTTCTATTTGCTTAGTTTCTAAGCAACCCATTGGGTTCTTTTATATATCCATTGCCCATTAAGTCTAAAGGGAAATACTGTAGTGACTTGTGTAGCTAAGTTTTCTCCAACTTTAATTTTTCAAAACCTCCATCACTTAATTTCATTAGGAATGGAAACTACAACTTAATTAATTATTTTCAGCTTCTGAGCTTAGAGTTGCCTTTTGATATCCCAAGAGTGCTTTTGTGGATGGTCCAGACCCATTCTTAAAGTGTTACTGTGAGTTGTTCTATTCTGATGTACACTGATTGGGTGGACATAATGAGGTAGCTATTTTGTAGGTCTGGTCTAGTGTTTTCTTAACCATATACTTCACATTTTAGAGGTAAAAGAAAAGTAAACTCAAATGTACATTGAACCCAGTTTTTAAATGTTTGCCCCAAATTAATTTATTAAAATACTCTGTATAAACTTAAATTCCTCTGTGTATGAAGACGAATGACTGGAAGGGGGTTATAACTGCAGTATCTGAACTGTCTCACACCTGCATTATTGGTGTGTAGAATTTGACATTTTCTCACTTCACAGTGAAATGGTGTTTGTTGTTGTTATTTGGGGGGGGAAGCTGCAATTGGACTCATGTATGCAAAGTCAGTTCTGTACCGATAGTAACACTGCTAGCCTGAATGTAAATGAGCATTAATATATATCAATATATGAAAAATTGACTCTATACATCAGAAATGTATTTTGTGAATAAAATATCTGTGAGATCCATTTTCATGTAGTTTTTCCAGTGTGTTCTGTGAAGACTGATTGTGTTTGCAAGCTGCGAAGAAGTTTTCTACATTTTCAGAAGTTTGTGATTCGTGTCTTATGAATCTTTATATATGTTGTGAAACATATGTCTTCTTTGAAACTTCCTCTTTTCTTGCTGTCCTACCTGGGAAGGAATCTGAAACATAGCAGTCTGAAACATAGTGGATCCTCTCCTTGAGAAATCCTTGGTGCTTGACTGTCCAAGTACAGTGTGGTTTCTCAACAGGAAGTCCCATTGTGAAAGAAGCCACAGTTGGTCAGGGGAACACTGGTATGAGCAATGGCGTTCTCTCTCACTTCCTGTCTTTTGGCTGATCTTCAGTATCAGACCAAGCAGAGTCGGGGCAGAAGGGGACTGCCAAGAAACATATCTGGTTAAAAGTCCCTTGGGAAGATGAATACAGCTCAAGGAGGCTTGTTTCTGATGGCCGCCTGGGCAGGAGGACTGTGTGCAGGTCATTTATTACGATGTGTTCCTTGCTACCATGCAAGCGTATCAGTGCAGTATGCTCCCTGGGCCAGGTCAGTTAGAGTCTTCGAGGATTAGGAAATATTTATTTATAGGGCTCATTAATTTCTTCTTGCTCATTTTTGATTCAAGGCCTCTAGAGCTGCAACTTATTGATTTCAAGGTCAAGGGAGTTTTAGTTGGGATTTCATTGTCTTACCTTGACAAAAAGTCAAGTAAAAACATAGTATGATATTCAGCTATACTGTACATTTAAGATATTCTTACCAGAAAACTAAAGCCATAACCTGGAATGTATAACGCAGATGTCTCTCTTTCTTCACCATAAATCAGGCACTAATCCAACACAGTTTGATACAAATGATGATGAAAATGATAAATATTGAAATGTCATTCTCATAAACATGTACGGAGAAATAAAGGCGCATTAAGGAGAATGTCACCATTCTTCACATAACTTTACTGATAATAAATAAGACACAAATGTAATATCCTGCTGAACGTTTATGAGCATGTTAAAGTTTATTTGCTTGTGATGATGTTAAACAGCCATTTCACGGTCAATTACTGCTATGTTCCCACAGCTCAAAGCATTCAGTAAAGCAGGCTTCCAAGGCGAGTGCATAGATTTTATAAAAGAATGCTCTGACCTGACCTCATTCTCGCCATCCTCCTTCAAGGTTCTCCGTGGCTGGTGAGTGTGCTTGATTCTTCTGCTCTTAACTAAGACCAAATTTCTTTTAAGTTTACAGAGGGCAGAGGTTTCTTTTTTTTTTCCTACACAGTTTTTTTTCTTTTTCTTTTTCAAAAAGCATTGATCAGTTGCTAACTAGTCTATGTTAATCTTCGTGTATTTGTAATTTTAGTTGTACAAGTTATACTAAACATAAAATAAGTTGATTATTCAACTTTGGGAGAAATGGTTTCATTTCTCAATATTTTCTAAGATGATTTTCTAGGATTATTTTAATGTTTATGTTGTATGTTTACTGTCCAGCACAATAAAATGTTACAGAATAGCCAGTTCTTCTGTACAGGGATGACTATTATTACTATTTGCTTAAAATAGTCTGTCTATTTTACAAATGAGAAAGCTAGATTTGAAGTTAGGGTTCTGGAACTACCACCACATCGCACAGCAGAAATATTTTTGTCATTTTGTAACATGACGGCCGGCTTGTTGGGGTATCTGTCCCGCCCAGTACCCCACAGATGGCAAGTCCCAAAGAATATCTCACAGAGTCTACATTAGGTTATAAACTGATTGGCCCATTAGGTTAGGCTCTGATTGGCCCATTAGGTTAGGCTTCTTGTTAACTCTTATAATATATATTACCCCACTATCCTTATCTATGTTAGCCACATGGGCTCAGTACCTTTCTCAGTGTGACAGTTTACATGTTGCCTCTTCGGTGGTCTGCGCAGGAATGACAGAGGAACCTCCCTGCTTCCCAGAATTCTCCTGTTCTCATTGCATCACCTCTACTTCCTGTCTGGTTTTCCCGCCTATACTGCCTGCCTGGCCAATCAGCGTTTTATTAAAATATGATTGACAGAATACAGACAATTCTTCCGCATCATCATTTAATCATTTTTAAAAACCTTAAATCCTTTATTCTTCCAATTCTAACAACATGATTAATCTTTTTCACATGTGAAACTGTATGTGATTTCTTGGGCTAAAGTATAGTCTATTGGTTCTGTAATGAAATATACATAACATAATATTTACTATTTTGGCCATTTTTAAGTCTTTGGTTTGGTTGCATTCCCCGTATTTCCAGTGTCTACCTAATAGTACTTCAGAATCCCTGGTATTTGTCAGTTTCCCTTTCTTCTTCTTTGAGCCTGTGTAGACCAGTGCCCCACATTTCGGTTGACTATTTTTCCCGTCAGTCTTTATTCCTCGTCGTCTCTAAGGCAGATCAAGTTCACCTCGTCCTGTTCTAGGCTGATTCCATTAGCTGCCCTCACTTTCCTTACCCGTTTGTGCCCTTCCCCCTCTGCCAACATGTACTCAGCCAGCTGTCTTATCCATTGCCCTCTGTGCCAGGATGGTAAGTCCCCTCAACTCTATGGTGTGGCAAGCTCTGTTCCTGGTGCCTTACCTGTCGTGGTATCCCAGAAGCGAGTGGCTCTGGTTTAACTGAATGGGAACAGCTGAACTGTGGGGAAATTTCATTGATGCACGTGGAGATTTGCATTGTATACGTATGACATACATAAAAAGTAGAAAGTAGCGTTTGTTTTTTTTTAATTTAAAAGGCATCTGCAATTTTAAAAATCATTTCAGCTCGTGAACTGTATTGAAAAATAAATGATGGGACTGTCTGGCACATATTCTGTGATCTGCCGACCCTTACAAAGATTGTAGGTCTTTGGTAAACAGGACCAACAGATGATTATTTATTTGCTATAGGATATGTTAAAAACTTATACTTATAGGTCTAGTATATATTATTTCAGCATCACCTACCCCCACTGTTCCCTTAAACGACTTTGTGAAAGCCTTCACCATTGGAAAAGACTGCTGGCATTGAGTGGATGGCGTGTTTGCTCCCCGCTATCCATTAGCCATTAGGTGATGGCCTTTCCCAACTGCTTTTCACTTTTCAATTGCCAGTGCCCTTCTCATGTACTCTCATTGCCTACTTGCCCTCCATTAAAGCTGCAGAATTTTAAGATTTGTTTACTACTCATCCCAATTTGTTCAAACCGTGTTTTTCTTCCGGGTTTCCTGTCACTGTTCTGATTGGATCTCTTCTCCAGTTGTTGCTGTTTTTATATTTACTTCTGAAGGGCTGAGGGTTTTACAACACTAAAACGTAAAATCCTGTAAGTTCAGAAAGCTTATCTGCCACTCTGTTGTCAGAGAGAAATATGTAGCGAGGACCTGAAATAGTTTTCTTACCCTTAATTGGTTTTGAGTTTCTTCTCCAGAAAGGTAAAAAAGTAAATTTTCTGCAAAATGATTTTCATTGATCAGATAAAAAGAAGCACTAAAATTTTCCTACAGGGAAGTCATTGTTTTCTCTCTTGAGCTGAAATCTAGGACAAATTAGCCACATATGCCCTTATATGCTGGAAGTATAAGTATTAAACTATAGTTAAATGTAAAGAATTTTAGAACCATGGAGATTATGTAAGCACCTAGTTTTTATGAGACCTGGATGTGAATCCAATTCAGCTCCTTCCCAGCTATGTAAGTAACTCGAGGCAATGGTCTTCTCTGATCCTCAGATTCCTCATGGACAAAGGCCACAGTCCTCCAAGGACTGACTTTCTTGTCCTCCTAGTGGTGAGAATTGAGTTTAGGGTCTCACTTGTGCTAGGCAAATGCTCTACTGCTGAGCCATACTGCACTAAATAAAATACTGCAAATGAGAGGCTTCGCTTCTTGCCTACTACTTTTAAAGCCCTTGATAAATGTCGGCAATTAAGTATTCATCACACAGGAGAAAATGACAGTAAATTGCAGCACCACCCAGCATTCCAATGGTAACACAAAATTAACTTCGTCTAGGTAAAATACTGATAGTACTAACATTTTTAAATTATGGGCTAAAACTTCATTACACCCAAGCTAAATTACTAATAGCTAATTAATTTTTCCTTTCAGCTCCTCCTTTGAAAAGGGCGTCCTTAACCAGGACCTTGGTGTGTGGTGTATTGAATGTAACTCAACATGAAGGATTCACTTTAAATTGTTTTTTCTCTTAGCTCTCTGACATAAAAGTGACAGATACACTTTAGAACGTTTCTCCAAAATAACTTAATTCATTTGATTAATCATCACCATAATTTGATCCCAGGGTTTTTTTGTTTGAAGGCACTAAATTTACAGATGTCTTCAGTGTAAAGCAGATGTCTTTTTATTTTAGGTTTCAGATCTGCCATTTAATTGGTGAACCTTAGGAAAATCAGCCTACCTTTTATAATCTTTAGTATAGTATGTTGATTGTGAAGGTGAACTTATATCTTCAGCTTAGGCAGTTATTGAAGATCCTATGAAATGAGGTCTGAGACTCATGCCTGGGGCATAGTAAGCAGAAGGTAAACAAGAGTGGTCACTGCTTATTGACCAGTACTGCCCTGTACCATGACGGCTGTACCCTAGTTTCTACAGCTGGATGACAGGACAGCCTAAGGATGGATTGTAATTTGAGTGTCCTACTGTTTCTTTTATAGCTGGCTCCTGTATTACCAAGAAGATGTCTTCTATCATCAGTGTGTATTGGAAGAAGGCCTCTACGTTGACCTTACTTCCTGTGGCTGCCCATCAGCTAGAGTCAGAGCTCTCAAGCCCATTGACTACGTGAGTAACCCACTGAGCTCATAGTTACGAGACACAGCTGAAGTACCTGGGGTGCAGGAATTAGAGGCAAGGATTTGAGGCCAGTTGCACAGCTTCTTAGGTCTGTAATTCCAGGCAAATTGGGTCATCTCTCTGAAATTGCGCTTGCTTGTCGGAGAAGGAGCCAGTAGTGATCGTATCTACCTCACAGGATTCTTAACAAGTCCTAAGTACAATAATGTACATGAAAGGCATAGCTCTTTGAAGAATAGTTTATAATGTGAAATTAGAAGAAATATTACAATGAGAAATGCCAAATTATCAAAACAGGAGTAGTTTAATTACTTGTTATGAGATCGAGGTTCACATATAAAAGCCGGCCAAGGTGATTGTGATTCTCCAAGGTAGGAATGTGATATCTCCAAGGATTAGAGTAATGTGCTTAAATCTAGGTTTGGTACTTTTCCTCAGCTTGATTGAAATTGGCAATTTCGCATATGTTAACTATAATAAGAACAGCAAAATTGGCTCTATAAAACCACTGAAGTTTTAAATGAGATGCTCAAAAGTTTTTATAACTGCTTAATTATAAAAATGATAGCATGGTTACCTTTACATTGTAAGAGAGTCATAGGATAGTTTGCGACTTGGGTTTCCATGGTCCGACAAGATCTGGAGTATCACTGGCATTGACTTTAATCTTGGATGTGGGAAGCTAGGACTTTACTGCCTGGTCTATGCAGAGTTATTTGAGTCCCCATGGAGGCCCTTGTTTGTAGAGTAAATAATTTCTTCTTTACCATGTCTTCAGAGATGTAAGAAAGCCAGGACCAGTACTCCGGGCTGTCAGGTCTGGACTTCTGTTCTCCAGGGTCTGTGCAGCAAAAGTGATGAGAGTCCGTGATACTCCGGGGTCCTTATTAAGATGGTTCTCCAAGGATATGTCTGGTCAAAGCTTGAGACATCCACAGAACTGATGCAGAGCCCTAGATGATAGTGGGAGTGACTGACCTTCCCGCAGAGCCGATGGGCGGATGCCCATGCTCAGCTCCTTTGATCTCAACCTTAGCAGAGTCATTGTGTTTCCAAGGCATTCCTGGAGAGAGTATTCTTGGTATCAGACTAAGAATAGCATGTGGGCTGAGGAATAGGAGTAGAAATAGACTTCTTGGTGGCTCTCACTTGCCCCACATACTAACTCAAAAGTATGAATGACTCCTAATGCTTCCTGTCTGTCACTAAACCGGTAAGAGGCATAGAAACAGAAAGTGTGATTTTGTCATACAGGTCTTGATGGCATTGGAAAAGCATTGGAAAGCCATCCACATTTACAGAGAAGGGGATTTTATTTTTTAAGGAAATGCCACTGGATGCATCAACAGAGACAATGCTTGGTGTTCAGTAACTCTTAAAACAAAAGATGAAGGCACTTTGTTAAAAAGGTTTTGGCAAGATCTTTAATTTGGAGAACTGAATCAACTAAAGTTTAGGTAATCTGTATAAAAGTCGATTCCAATGATTGGGATGCTTAAAAAGTGTGTGCAGGGCATTTTCTACCCATCAGGAAGAACACATGAAACTGATTTAGTCCCCAGAAGGCTAGTTTTTGAGGATACTATTTGGTGTAAGGTATGTGTGTCGGAATAAACAATTCTCTAAAATGGAGCCGTCTCTTCCGGTCCAGTCACATACAGTGTCCATGCTCCCTTTCTCTGGACAGTCCTAGACCCTGATCTTCTGTTACCCCATCTTGTCTGCTTTCTTTGTCCCTCCACTTTGGTCTTAGGATGAGAGACCTTTTGTATACGTGCCTGTGCCACAGCCAGTGTGATTCCTCATTCATTGTAGGAAATGTTTCTATCCAGCTGTGTTAAGTTTATGTATAAGGTAATCTATTGACTTGGCTTTGCTGCAGCTTGCAAGGGTATTGTTTGAAGTTTTGTAAACATGTTAAGACCTGGTGCCTGGTTCCATAATGGTATCATATTGAAGAGCCTTAAGACTTCATCTTCATACAGGATCAGTGTGTTCTTCAAATGACAGTTTATTCCAGGCTAACCTCCACCTATAAAAATAGATGTTAATGTCTTGAGGTCCTGGGTTATGTAATCTGTAGTGTTGCAATAACTTCACAGTGGAAGGAGCTTTTCTGCCTTCTTTCCACATTGTTTTTAATTTGGTTTCCACTAATGTGACCAGATACAGTCTCTTAATTTATCTGGGTCTCAGCACTTCAGAAAGAAACCAGTTACATCAGGTATTTTCAAACCTTCAACAGCTTTTAGTCCTGGTGCAGGTAAATAGACTAATAGTAAATATGGCGGGCATGTAAAAGAACTCCGTCCACCCCTAGTTTTCATGTGGTTAGAGGGAATAGTATGTGTTAACTTTCATAGAAGCCCCAGAATCTTAGTCCTCTTTGACACAGTGTTTATAATATTTGTTTTCCTGTCTGTCTCAGCAATCACAGCTCAGTTGAGTGACTTCCATCTTGGACTGAGCATTGGTTGTAGAGCCACATTTGTTGTGTGTCTTGGTGGACAAGGGTGACTGGATCATCTTTGGTCAGGGACAGGACTGTTCATGACAGTGGAAGAGCGGAAAAACTAAAATCCAACCAGAGTCACACAAGATGCTTGTGTTCAGAAAGACATCATGTGTCTGTTTCTCTTCCATGACTGAAAGCATTTTAAGACTAAGACTCATCAATGGACTGGGAGAACCTTCCTCCCCAGCATTGGTAAAATTGACCAGACCATATTCAAACAGTCTTACCTTCCTCATCAGAACTCAGGTTGTCTGTGTTATCAGAGCTTAGGCAGTGAGATAGGGAAATTTAGAACACCTCTGTGTATTCTTTGTTCTGCCCTTGTCGCAGAGCCAGTTTCCTTTTAAAGAAAAAAATGATTGTTGGCATTTTTTGTTAAGAGAGCCCAGAGGAGGTTTGGTGACCTGCCAGATGAAGAGCATGGTGCATGATGGAATATGGTACTAATTCCTTCTTAGGTTTATTATAGAATTTACCGTGGGAGATTCCTTGGTTTTGAGTCAGTATCTGAGAATGGTAATGGCAGAGCAGGTGGTATTGGGAAAGTGCACTGAGGCCCAGAGGTCCCATCAGCCCCGCTCGAGGTGTGAGTGTGTTCTTTGGTATAAGTTTCAAGTCACCTCAGAGCTGGTTTCCTCGGGTGGTCTCTCTGGAAGAGTTTTACCAGCCGTGTTTGATGTGCTTGGTGATGATTACCAGATGTTTTTCTAAGATGAAAGAGATCAACGTTTAAGTTTAAAGAAGCTTATGTGTTTTGCTGAAATTATAGCCTTCTATATTTAGAAATAATTGTATGGGTGCAAAAGAGTAACCTGATGACAGGAAGGCCAAGCACAGTGCTTGTGACATGCGTGCAGGCTTCGGGAATGGAGGGCATAACTGTAATTTGTAATTATTAATTTGAGAGAAGGATTGTTTAAAGGTTGTTTGTTATGCGTTGATTGGAGGAAAATGTTTAAAGTGGTTGAATTCTCTGTAGAAATATTACTACTGCAGAATAATATTATTGAATATTCATTTTACATTAATCTATCCGACTTACTGTGCATCTATTACTTAATTACTGTGTACCAGATTTTTTAATAAGCAGGAAATAAAAGACAACAGAGAATTAGATAACTTACAGAGAATTAGATAACTTAGTGATCTTGTGTCGTGAAATGCAGAATCCTCTTCCTGTACCCCCAGAGTGTGTTTCCCAGATACCTGTCCTTGCCACTTTCTCTCTTACCTGGAGGTTTCTGTTGTCATAACTCTACTTCTCACCTCAGCCAGTGTAGCCAGTTCCAAGCCTGTAACATAAGCAACGGTTGGTTGTCCCTAATACCTACATGAGCTTCCAAGTACATCATAGGCAGAAGTGCTGTGGCAGCCCATTTCCCCTTAGATTTGTTCTTCCATCCTCCAGTTCTGTTAAAATCCATCGTCATTACCATCTGTCTCTGCCTGCACTACAACCTGTCATTGATCGCTCTACCTTGTGATGTCAAACATCTAGTCAGCAGCTGAGTACTGGATATTATGTTTTTATTCTCTTCCCTCACCTCATTTTCCCTCCCAAACCACTGTGAATCCCTGTTAACTTTCTCCCTCTGTGCTGTTTTCATTTCTTACACGCATCTTTTGTGTTACCTTCTGGTACAGGCTAGTCCCTGCCCCGCTGTCGGGTCTCCTTCACAAGGTTACCCTTTTGTTCCGCCAGTGTACTTTATCGTTTCATTTTGCACTGTTCTACGGGAACAAATGCACGTTTTGTTTTCTTGCCCATGTCCTTTAAGATCCAAATTAAATAACTACAAGTGACTATGTCTGAAGCATGTCTTAGTTTGTTTTTTATTACTGTCACATAACACCATGGGTAGGGAAGATTTTGTGGTGATAATCTTGATTGTACAAATAAAGCTTGCCTGAAGATCAGAGGGTGGAGCTAGCCATTAGCTAACCATAGAGGTGTGGAGGTCTGTACAGACCTGGGTAGAGAGAGGAACTCAGTCTCTTTTCCACTGGGAAGTTGAGAGGTAAGGTGGCTGTGGTTTTGTGCCTTTGTCTCTCCGATCTCTCAGCTTTTCCCCCAATATCTGACTCCATGCTTTTGTTACTGGAACTCATGCTATAGAGATTATTTCAACTTATAACTCTCAGGTCACACATTATCATTGAGGGGAATCAGGAGAGGGACCCAAGACAAGAACTTGGAGGCAGGAACTGAAGCAGAGGCCATGTAGCAATGATGCTTACTGGCTTGCTCCTCATGGCCTTGATCAGTCTTCCTTCTTATGTTCTGGAACATATGTTCAAGGGGGGGCACTGTACACACTGGCATAGGCCCCTTCCACATCAATGTTTAATCAAGAAAATGTCCTACAGGTTTGCCACAGGCCAGTCCTATGAAGGAATCTTCTTAATTGAGGTTCTCTCTTCCCAGATGATTGTGTCTGTTGACACAAACAAACCAACCACAGGCACACACACA